AGAGACGGCCTTGCTCCTGCGGTAGTTAGCGTCGAGCTGTACCGCAGAAGTGTACCACTTTTCGATAGTGTCAGGAAGTGTCTCCTTCCTGTAGATTGCTTCGCGAAGGCTTGGGTTCAGGCCTTTCTCAAAGAAGTGTGAGAGTGTCACGCCTTCCTTGATATTGGCGATGGTAGCCAACGTTTTGAACTTCGAGATGTAGTCCGTAACGTTGTTTCCCATTCTGAGTTCGGCGATTTCGGTGAGGGCATTCACCTGCTTATCAACGGGTTGAAATGCAAGGTTGAATCCTTTCTCGAATTCTGCGAACGTTCCGAATTTCGGAGGGTTGGTGCTGAAAGCTTCGCGATAGAAGTTATCAGCCCATGCTTTAGCGCTGTTCTTTGTCATTAATGACAGGGCGACGGACACCATGATCTGCTCGCTGCAATAGACGGTGGGGTTGATGAGGAAGTACGTCTTTAAGCTGTAGAGCCATCGTTGTGCGTCGTCGGTGTTCCCATCGTAGTCCTGTTGGTGACCCTGCTTTGAGTTCAGGGGCACGAACTACGACGGCGGTGGAGGAGGATGGGTTAGACATTCTTGTCTTCGGATTGGCGCTAGTGTTTCGGGGAGGTACTTCGTCTGGAAAGTCCTCTTCAGAAGTCGGAGTGTTTCCTAGATCTTCTTCGTCGTTCAGTCCCTCGTCTGAGTGGTACTGCTCTGTCGGTGAGGTGGGAGAGCTAAACTGTCCGTCTACCTCTTCTTCGTCAGGATCTTCCTGATTCGGGTCGCGCTCCCAAGAGAACTTGCGTGTCCAGGGAGTGGTCGTCTTGTATCTGTTTCTGTCCTCGATAGGTGTCGAGGGCTAGAAGGTAACTTGAATCTTTTGTTACGACTTGGATGGTATCTGTTGGCGACGCTCAAACAGAGCTTGTGTCGTCAACGGTCTGTGGACGTCCTTGGGCTAGCCCAAGGTTAGGGGTCGTACTTGGCGGGTCTTCGGCAAGTACGATTTAACGCCTATGTCCAAATCGGGCAGCTTATGTCACGCGGATGCGAGACGATAAGCTATATCGGCCTAGGCTTACGACACCCGAAGGTTAATCGTAAGGATCGTCGTTAATTAGAAGGACAGAAGTCCGACTAGTTAACAGGGGCTTTGTTCGTCGACGAAGTCGATGAGCAAAGGTCGAGACTATAGGCTTATCCGCGAAGAGCAGATAAGAAGATAGAATATAGACTGCTGGCGAGGCAGAAGGATCACTCTGGTGAGAGTAGGAGGTCAAGAACCAAGTAGATTCAAGTTAAGGAATATGGTACATGGTAGCGAGTTTATATAGAGGACAGGGGACGTATTAGTGGATGATAACTCGTACTACCGGGAGAGGCAATCGGTAAAGGGTAAGACCATAATAGGAAGGCACGTTCGATCTAGGTAGAACGTGCTGGATAAGAAAGTGAGTCAAAGATCAGAATGAGAAGTAAAACACGCAGGGGCACGATCGTGCAACTGCGGATCTAAGTATAAGTCGCATGTGCGACTGCGCACCGAGTCAGAGATCAGGAAAGGGAATAGGGCAAAGGGGATGCGTCGTGCATCGTATCATAGGTTACCGTCTGGACGGTAAGGGCAAGGGGACTGTCCGCAGGATCAGTCAGGTGGTGAAACGGAGCATGGGTATGCTTCGTCAGCGAAAGGATCCGGCCAAATGTACTGGCTTTGCTGAAGCGACAGGTAGAGGGCGAAAGGGAATGCGAGGATGACGAGGATGACAAGGGTAAGGTCAGGGTAAGGGTATGATGCGAGGGCTGATACGAGGAGGATCAGGAGAAAAATAGTAGGGGCCCAAGCGTCTAGATGTTCTTGTAACAATACCTGTGATGATCAGCACTGATCCTTTTCAGTCTCCGCTCACAACTCAGACGCACCTGCGCCACATCAAAATTGTGTGTTGAAGTAAAGTTGCTCTAACGTGGATTACCAAACAAGCTCTTGATGTGGCGCAGGTGCGTCTGAGTTGTGAGCGGAGACTGAAAAGGATCAGTGCTGATCATCACAGGTATTACGAGTCGGTACAACATACCAGCCATGGATCCACAGGGACTCCTATCAGTAAATCAGCCACTATTCCCTAATCCCATTACCCCCCATGGGGGGCATCTCACTGCAGCTCATCTTCTTCAGCAAACTCAACCGGATACGGTGCACATCGCAAGAGCAGAAGTCTGCAAGCGCACTTTCCGTTACATTGCTCTCCTGATAAACATATTGCTTGCCGCTACTACACATCTACTCATACAACAGACCCCTGAGGATCCTGAGCCCTACCACACTTTGTCATTGACCAGTCAAGAATGGGTGATGGAATTAATTGTTGGCCACCCTGAACGCATACGCTGTGAGCTTGGGGTGCATGCTGAGGTCTTTGAGAGTTTGGTCAATGATCTTCGAAGCCTTGGCCATGCAGATTCACGCCACGTATCATTAGAGGAGCAGCTGGCAATATTCCTATATGTGTGTGTGACCGGATTATCTTTAAGACATCTCGCAGAACGATTCCAGCGGTCAAATGATACAGTCTCTCGGTTTGTAGTTTGCAAAACCTTGCTTGAACTTAGTACTAACCCCAAGTCACTCATATAACAGCTATTTCCGCAAGATGCTCTTTATTTTTTCGTCCCATCCATTCTACACAACACATGTCCGCCTTCCCACTGACAGCACACCTGTCTCAAGTGAAATTCGCGACAACCCAAAATGCTGGCCTTACTTCAAAGATGCCATCGGAGCGATTGACAGCAGTCATATCCATGCATACCCTCCTTCACACAGCCGCCACCTCTATTACAATCGCAAAGGCTTCATCTCTCAAAATTGCCTTTTTGTGTGCGATTTTGACCTCAATTTTACATTCACACTGACTGGCTGGGAGGGATCAGCAACCGATGCTCGACTCTGGGATGTAGCTCGCAATGATGGCCTGAATATCCTGCCTGGAAAATATCTTCTTGCTGATTCAGGGTTCCCCTCATGTAAAGAGCTCTTAGTCCCTATCATGGCATTCGCTATCACCTTGCTGAATGGGGCCATGCTAGCACTAGGTAAACCTTCAGTTGTTTTTTTTTTGCTCATCTGACATTATTTTTTAGACCTGTTAACAAAGAAGAGTTGTTCAACCTCCGTCATGCATCAGCTCGCAACGTCATTGAACGAATTTTTGGTGTTGTGAAACGTCGTTTTCGCATCCTTCTCATATCCCCTGAATATAGCATTGACATTCAGGCGCGGATTCCTACAGCGCTATGCACTCTTCACAATTACATCCGCGCTCATGACCCAGATGAAGGTCCTTTGCCGCACATACCCGTTGTCAATGACAACCATCACGACACCTTCCCAGCACCTCCAGGACATGCCGACACCGATAACTCAGGTGCAGCGCCCATTCATACCAACGCAAACAACCTTCGTGATCAGATTGCAATGCAAATGTGGGAGGATTATCAAAACTACTTGTATGAACGAGACTTGATGGATGTAGATCAGTTCTTGGAAAGTGATGAGGAGGCGGCTTCAGATGATGAACAGTATGCAGAGCTTGAAAATGATGCTGACAACGATGATGCTATTTGATACAGTAGTAGTACAACATTCTGCTACTACTACAAAAATGGAATATTGTGCTTGACTTGTTGAATGATAGACCGCAAAAAACCAATGCGAAGCTCCGGCGTGGTACTCAAATACACAGTGCATATTCTCGCGTTCAAGAGGACAATCTTCTCATCATGCGACAAGTCCTCTTCTGCTTGCATGCTGTCCAGCGCACGGCTTGTTTCATCCGCCACCCGAGAATCTTCAGTGACGGTCGATGTTGTAAGACCATCGGTCAGGCGATTAATGGAACCTTGCAGGTTCATCCATGCGGCAGCGCTGGCAGCATCTTTGCCCTTTCTGCCACCATTCCCACTGCTACGCCGACTCGTACCCGTTAACTTGAGCTTCTTGCTGTCGGATTCTGATGGTACCAGCTGCGAGACCGACTCAGACATGATGGATGCGGAAGGGGCAACTGACGTCATATCATCGAGCTGGCGCTTTCCCAGGCTAGAGGTAGAAGAAGGAGGCGGCATGAGGGAGGGGATACTAGTACTGACATCATGAGTGATGTTGCTGGTGCTGGTGCTGGGACCTGGTACTGGTGCAGCATCATCAGTGATGTTACTGACACTGGGACCTGGCACTGGGACTTGAGTGCTGGTTGCAGCTGATGACGTGGGGTTGTATGAAGCAGATCCATGTGCAATGCTGTTAGTTGGTAGGATTTGGTCCATCTTGTTGTAGAACCTGTAACTGGTGTTCTTGAACAACTTCATGGACTTCCCAGAGCTGCTCTGTGGCAAGATAAATTCAGCTGAAATTAATACATAAATGTGATTACATACGTGAATAAATTCATTCCACACAGATTCAGCTGCCTCCCCCTGAATGCTAGCACCATGTTCACTATCCCAATGACACCCGGATCAGTTGCGATATTTCTCAATAGCATTGTAAGTAGATTTTAACTAAAATATTTGCATCAGCGATGGCTGGACTCAGAGTGGCACAAGAGACAACATACCCCTGCCCATTTAACCCTGCAATGTGATGCCGTCTTTACTGGGCCACTTTTCTTCAACCCTGCGATCTTGAGGGCAGCTTCATTGTAGGTCGGTTCTTTGAAGTTGGTTCCAGCCAACTTTGATCGTTGTGTGATAAGATAGTCGAGGAGGGCATCAACCTCAGCATCCTCCCAGTGAGCCTTCTCCTTTGGTAAAGACATTTGTATCAGCTGGAGTTGGCTACAGATTATGAAAGTAGCGACTGCTACAAAGATCTGCTTTCTGCGCTGATCATATGCGCGATGGCTGATAACAGATTTCGTGGCCATGGTCGGAAGGGAAAGACATTCGATCTCCGACACCGGCGTTCGTCGTGCCGCCTGTTCAATGCTGTGCATTGTCAAACTTTGCGCCCAACTTTCATTCAAACTCAGGTTACCGAACAAGCTCCAAAATTGTGCGTTGAAGTAAAGTTGCTCTAACGTGGATTACCGAACAAGCTCTTAAGTCGCAATTTCTCATGTCCACAACAACCGTTCCCAGAACTCAAAATATCTCCGGCATACTATCTTGCAGCTTAACGTGTGAGCAAAAATGTTCTCGTCTCTATCTTGCGATCAGTAGATATAGCCATCGTATTTCTATTATTTTATCGATACATAAATGCGTTCTAAACATGGAACAACTTCAAGATTGCGACAAGAAATAAATACCACGTAGCAGGTGCAGGCCTTACCATCATGAAAAGAAATCAACGACAGACTTGACCATTTAAACCTGTCTACTCGACTCTAGTATATCTTTCAACGAGATGTTGCTCCTCTCGCACATTTCGCGGAAAAGTCCATCCTCTATTTTGAAAAGATTGGATGGAGTATCAAATTCCTTGAATAGAGTGTGAGTATTAATCGATGAAAGACGTTAAAATCACCCTACTGCAACAAGACCAGTGTCAAGGACCAGAATCCGGTCATATGAAATGATGGTACGAAGTCGGTCTGAAGTGTCATCGCATCACAGCATCACAGCGAGAGCACAGCAGATAAAACGCACGGGCAATACAAAGTAGCGTCCGATCCTGAAATTCCGTCTGGATAGTGTGCTGGATCTTGCTATCAGTATCGAGATCGACAGAGGCTCTGAGAAAAATTTAACATCAGGCATACAGGAGAAGAGCATGACTAACGTAGCCTCGTCAAGGACAACGACTTTGCAATCTTTCACCAGCGCACGAGCTAGGCTGAGCAGAGATCTCTCCCCAACACTGAGGTTCGTTCCCTCGCTCTCAACGGTACTGTCAAGGTCGTGGCGGCTAGTGGGGGCTTGCTCGTGTCCGACACCATCACTGGAAAATGACTGTCTCGGAGTGGTGCTAGAATCAAGCAGACAAGATCGATGCAGTGCATCCCATAGCTCCGCGTCACTGTATTGCGAGAATGGATCCAGGTTGGAGCGTATGGTCCCTAGTCATCAATGAGCGCTTCACACAAGAACACGTAGATCTACGATACTAACCGCTAAATAGAAGGGGCTGTAGAGTTCATACGTCAGTCCTGTGCTAGGTTGTACAGGAAAAAATTACAGACATCTTGTGGGATAATAGAAATCTTAGAGCGGAGATCTTTAAGACCAATTGTCGATATATCGACACTAGAAGGGGTAAACCAACCAATCCCGTGACGAGCGACGATCCACGCACCCATCAATAGTGATTGAACCACCAGACACCTCAACAATTCGAAATAGTGCAAGCATCAACGAAGATTTGCCAGCACCAGTCCTGAGAAGGCACTGAATTAGTATAACGCGTACAGATTTAACAAACCAGCTGACCGTCCAACAATGCCTATCTTTTCGCCTCCCCTAATCTTAATCGAGATACCTCTCAATACATCGGGAAGGCCCGGCCTATATGCCATTTTAACGTCGTTGAATTCGACGGCACCATGCTCAGGCCATTGCGCTGGGGGCTTTCGTTCTTCAATTTCATACGGAGCCTCCTGAGGTATCGTATCGCCTGCGACGTACTGTGACACTGCGAGATGTAAGCGAGAGTTGAGATATGATGGAATTGGGGGCTTACATCGCTCCACTGCATTCATGTAATTCTGAGGCAAAGAACGATTCAGTAGCCTGTAATATGGGATAGTTAGGAAAGCCTTACCTCGACGTCAGCTGTTTCCCTGGTTAACATACCCCACATTTGTAACAGCGACACTGTGACACAAAGAGGTCAGTCGTATGTACTTTGATGACGGCATTGGGAGACTCGCAGGCATATGTCAGTACCAACCCTATCTGAGCGGCATTCATCCCGGAGACATCGATCACTGCGAGAAGAGCAACCTATTGAGATCATAGCATTGGGTAAATACGAGGCAGCTGTCATTGAGTAGACGCCTACAAAAAAGATTAATGTGGCTCCTATGAAGTCCAACCTTATTGCAAGCCACCTGAGGGAAGGAGATAAACTAATGACCGTCAAGATGTGTATAGGGTTACTTGCCTCTGGGTCGTAATCACGAGAAATAAAGCTCTATTCTCCAGATCAACGTAGTATCTATTGGCAGCAATAATTCGTTTCATTGCTCGGTAGCTTCGGATTGTGGGAAGTCCTGTCAAGGTCTCTGAGAAGTGGGCATACAGAAGAGAGCGAAGCATAGAGTCTGATGACCGATTTCAACGCAGGCTTTCGAAGTCAAAAACACAGAAACAAACCCAGGCGCTTGACTTCACGAGCACCAGCTTGATGAAAGGCGGCAAAGTAGCTATAACCGAGAGCGACGAAGAACACAGCAATGACTAGACAGGCATGAGTCATATCCTGGCAGAGATATCTAGATATATACTGACCAAAGTACGGTTCAAAAACAGAAATGATGATGATAGAGCCCATCACGCTAGACAGCTTAAAGACAACTGGATCTTCACTCAGTTTCCGTAAATGAAGCGTGTGGCTAACGTACCCGACGTCGTTAATTCTTGACGATGGATAAGCAACATTTCACCACGCAGTCACAGACAACTCACGTGGTAGTTGATTGTCAATACCTGAGTGAAAGGTTTTAGTAAGTATTGCATAGCATAGATCGCTGAGACACTCACTGTCGATATCTTTTCCAAAAATGTTGAGGATTCGACCCATAGGCTACAGGTATCCAATCAGCATTAGTTTATGGTGCTTTCATACACAATCACTTACTGTAGTGTCGAAAAAGGACATGGATGCGTGAAAGATGTTGCGTACCGACTTCTCGTGCAAGCTTTGAGACACATAACAGGAAATGTAATTCATTTCAGCACCCCTACGGCAAGTTGTGTTGAGTGAGCGTGCAGCCATGTGCGATAGCAACCGACTTACAGCAAGAACACGAAGATCGCTTGACCAACCCCTAGGCAGCCGTACAGCGTCTGATAGAACGAGTTTGGCCGGTGGAATTTACTGCGCTGGGATTTAGAAAAGGAACCAACAAGTCGATAAAAATACACTGACTCCGTCTCCCACCAAACTAGTGTGTACGAGTTCAAGATCAGGCTTCCCTGCATCACAAGCATGAGGAGAAGAAATAGGGGGCCCGTTATTGAACCACGTCCAGCAACCAAGTAGGTCCAATACACTTTGAAACTGTTTCATTCCAGGGAAACATCTCAGACGAATTCGATCGCACCTGTCCAGGAAACAGAACCCGTCGACCGTTTCTCTTTGACAATCAAGCGACCTTCGATGTTGCTACTGCCAATTGCCCGCTTTCTGGCTCTTTCAGACTTCAATTTCACATCCTCGATAGTAATGCCTGTTTGCGTAGTGACCTCCTCTTCCTGGTCTTTATCTTCCCCCTCCGACGCATGGCCACCGAAATCTAGGTCTAAACGCGCAAAATGCCCACCGCGAGAGACCAGATCCTTGTAGGTTCCACTCTCTGTGATGACGCCGTTATTCAAGGTATAGATGTAATCTACTTGAGAGAGGAAGTGGATCGCATGCGTGACCAGGATGACGGTAATGCCACGATTTCGCAGGGCACCCACGATGGCACCTTGGAATAAGGACTTTCCGACATGAGCATCCACTGAAGGCATTCTTCAATATGATAGACACAATGTAAATGACATAGCTCGCCTGCCGAGAGCGGATCATCAAATATGACAATTTCAGGTTCAAAGTACAGGGCACGAGCAATGTTGACCTGCGCGGAAGATAAAGATCGATTCTCGACTGATACAAGCCACGAACTCACTCTCTGCTTTTGGCCTCCGCTAAGATTGATTCCCCTTTCTCCAATCTGACACAGAAAATAAGTAGTGGTATCGAGTTGAATTTACCCACGTACCTCGGTCAGATCACCATCTGGGAGCAGTTGGAGATCCGGAAGTAGACAGGTGGTCTCAACGACGCGCCAATATTTGTCTTCCTCGAATGGTTGGCCAAAAGTAATATTATCACGCTAGGGTAAGATGTCAGATGTATTTTCTCTTGTTAGAGCGGCACCACGCTGACCAATGTAGCATTCTGGATCCACGCGATCTGTGGACAATAACCAACGCGACCGCCAAACGAGACATGCCCGGAGACCTTCCTCATCTCACCTAGCAGTCCTTGCAATAAACTGGACTATTCATGGGTCAGTGGTCGCTTCGAGGATTTCATTCGATAAAATTACCTTGCCGCTCCCAACAGGCCCGACTACAGCAACAAGTTGACCTCGTGAAATGGTCATGGTCACATTCTTTACCTGAAAAAGAGGTGCATCCTTTCCAGGAGTGGGCTTTTCCTTTGCCATGTCCACATTCCTGTCCTTGCCCCTCGGCGGACCGCCGCCACCCTTCGAGCTGAATGTCTCACAAGAATCTTGTACATATGACTCCCACTCAAATGTCGCGTCCTTCGCCAGAAGCGCGGGTTCTTGATCCCTGTCAATCATGAGTGTATCTCCAGAAATAAGTTCTGCGCGGAACACGTGTGTGAGCCGCTGAATCGCGCTGGATGCATCGGGGATAGCCGATAGAGCGCGAGGCATAAACATCATTGGTTGCCGGAGAAGCTATTTATCTTTCAGTTAGCTGCGTGTCTATGTCCGCCGCAGTAAAAGATTTCACCTGAAATAAACTCAATGAACTGAATATGACGGCAACGTTGAAGTTGTGTGTTGTAAGGGTGTATGTGACGAAAGCTAGTGTGGCAGCGAGGACTGGCAGCGAAGTCGAGAGGGCCAAGCTACATAAATTAAATGAGGACGCGTCGCCATGGCATGCACATCGAGACTTACTTCGCCGAAGTTAGATGAAGAATCCATCGAATACCATGTAGCTCCTTCTTTCGAAGGTCGAAGATTCCTGAGCAATGTCCATGAGTATGGTGTTGATATTTGACTCATCACACTTACTTTGAAGGAAAGGAACCTCGTATGAGAAGTACTTGACAATCCGTATAGCCCCTGCATTCTCTTCAGTATCCTCGCATGTCCCAGCAGCCCCAAGCTTACGTACCTAGTACCTCTAGCAGAACTTTGGCTCGTTGATCAGTCCACTTCATCGATACTAAGCGAATACGGTGCTGCAACGCCATTAACCGCTGTTGAATCGGAATCATAAGGACAAATAGCGAGAAACCAGCGAGTGCAGACGGCCCGAGCTACATAGTTTTTTTTCAAATGTCGATAAGATAAATAGACTCCTTTATAGTGTACAACAAACCTCAGTTAAAAGAATGATTAAACAAACTGTGACCTGAATAGGCGCGGTCCAGGCTTGAAGACAGTAAGTCATCTCTAAATCTAAATGCTAGAGATCCTGTATACTGACCTGCATGCTAGTGATGAGGGACAGGCTACAAGTCAGTTGACAGTACGAGTGTAATGTTCAAGCTGGTAACTCACGAACCACTGCGCACACGCGTCAATCCTGCTCACGTCAGTAGAAATATGGTTGACAAGCAGGGCGTTGTTGAGTTTGACACGCGCTTTGCCTGTGAGATTCACTCCACGCTCGTAAATGCAAGTTATCAGCGCCGCTCTAGCCAGTACGCCTGTTGCCATCGAATGCCAAAAGAACTTGAAAACATTAGGTTAGCCACGTATAATCTGTAAAGTCTTACAAACCTGGTGGAAGCAAACTCTGGCTATCATAGTGAGCGCGAAGAGCCCAAGAGCCATGGCAATACCACGGCCGACATTAGGGGCAGGTGTTCCTGCAATGATCGCAGCGGAACGCTCTTGCGCAAAGACGATGATTTCCTGCCGGGGGAGAATAAATATCGCAGGGTATAAACCAAACACAAATTGACATTTACCCGAAGGACGATAGGACCCATGAGTTGTGCTGTATCACCAAGAACCTGCAAAGTGGTGTTGTAGATTGATTATGAGAGCGAAAATCTATGAGGAATACACATGCCTTGAATATACCTCCAATCCAGAACATACCACGAAAAGCATCATTCAAAGCCCAAGTAAGGCTGGCCTCTTTCCGCCCTTCGGATTCTCGCCAATGGTTCTGAAATGCTGTGTATCGCTCAAACCAAGTCGTGCCTTGTTTCTGATCATTGCTTGAAATTGCAAGCAAAGCCCAGCTGGTACGTTTGAAGAGAGATGGCACGAGTTCTCCACTCTCAAGTCGTGCATTCCAGTCGGCTGCAGTGTTTACACGCCGCTGCCATGCAGCTTCAAGTTTAGCGGCAAGGACGGTCGACTCTCGGGATGGATCCATTTTATATAGATCAGGTGCTTGTAACGTGCGCTGATATCCGAGAATCTAGGTGTATGCGTTGAAACAGAATACATTGGGATCAGGGTTCAATGACTGACCATTATATCTGTGACCCAAGAGTAGGTGAGCTGAGAGAAGATGGAAGCATTGACTAAAGGCGTCAGCTGTAGAATACCATATTATTAGGAGGGCCCTTCAGAAGATCAGCGTAGGGTGCTCACGTACCGCTGCATCCTCCAGAGACGGTGGAGCTGGAGGCGGTGGGTCCTTAGGTAACCTGCTCACAGCTTTTCAGAGGATAATGTTTGCAAAATAGCCTCACTTACCATAATTGCCACCATTTTTGACGAAAGTTGGTATACTCATCACCAGTATCGAGCTGAAGGTTGAAAGGGTGAAGGTTGGCTGCGTTGACCTCCTCGACCTTTTCTTTGTCCCCATTCACAGATTCTTCTGACTGTTGCGAGCTCATACGGAACAAGGCGGGACAAAAATACTGGGCCAGATAGATGGCGGCTTGCTGAGGAAGAATCGGAACGCCATCCACCTTCAAGTTGTGTTATTAATATATAATTGTACATGAGGATAAGCATGAGCCAACTAAAGCAAAGCAACGTTTCCACTGAGCTGGGGGTTTACAATTGGCGGGAAGTGCATGAATGAATTTGAACGTGATTCACGTTTTTCGAACTCTAATGCTGTTGCTGCCATTCTGCCAGTGGCAATTGCCTGGCCAAGCGGCAGTAGTAGGGCGAGGGCACTTGGCAAAAGTAGAAACACGATGAACTGGTATGTGCTCTTACCACAATTACTTTCAGAATCTAAGACATCCGAGCCAGGAAGCAACTTGAAGCAAAAACTTGTGCATGGACTGGGATGAATTTGAATGTGGGTGTCATCATTGCCAGCTGTCTGTTACGTAATAATCTATTAATTTTCATTAAGGGCGCTGCTGGCGCTGCCGTTTCACGATATCTTGCAGCTTAACGTGTGAGCAGAAACGTTCTCATCTCTATTTTGCATTCAGTACGCGTGTCCTGACACAGAGTTTTATCGCTGGCATACCCGGACTGTCCCCTACAACGCTTTCTCACCTGATGTACTACAACAGTCACTCAGATTGAATCGTCTGGGCACCGTTCAAGTCGCAACTTTTCGTGTCCACAACAACCGTTCCCATACATGACCCCCAAAATCCATGCAGTGTCAGCAGTGTCAGAGTCGAATATGGCTTGTGCGCTAAGAGAACCAACAGCCAGAAATGCGGGCACTATGAAAATGCTGCGCCACTGCTGTGACTGCCGCGACTGGACTGCTGCGCGGCATTTTCCGAATTTGCGCATAGTATACATGTACAGTGTACACTATGACTCAGTATATAGAGCAGCAAATTAGCAAAATACACTCGTTTCTTGCTGGCCACACACTCTGGATTCTGATTGCTGCCTTGAAGGACTTTACATGATTAATATAAACTCACTTGGTTATCATTGTCTTGAACTGTGTTGCTGGAGACTAATCTACAGTGTGTTCCAACTTCCGAGTCCCAATTTCAAACTTGTGTGATACGCAATCCATCATTGAAGTATTTATTCCAATGCGAGTCTGCAATAGTATGATGTGCAAAATAATTGCTGAAGGATGTATTATACAGCTCGAGTGTATTTTCAGCAAGTAAGTATAGTACTAGTGTCGCAGCTCCTTGTCGCAGTCGTCGCGGGCACCATATCGCAGCACTTCCCAAATATGGAAAGAAGGTGCCCGCGACGACCGCGACGACCGCGACAAGTGCTGCGACACTCCTCAGTAACTCATATTCAATTCCAAATCAAGCTGACTTGGTGGCTTGAGCAATTATAGCTACTATTATCCTACTAATGCAGCACTCTCAACAACACTGGGCTAACAGGCATCGAGAAGGCGATAAGGGACGCTGAGAATTGGAAAGATAGTTTTCGAACACGGCGTACGTGTCTTGGACTCGGAATCATTGTTTCTGACGAGTCAACTTGCTAAACCATCACACGTCCTGCCACACTCAAATTCACACTCAAAACGACAATTGTGACCATGCCTGCCCCACTAGTGAAAAGTTAGCATGTTCAGCCGCCAATCCTCATGCACATGCAACTGGGGCTGTAAACAGGTGTCACTGGACTGACTGGACCTCAGGCCTCAGGAGCGACAGGTGAAAAAATTCCATGGAGGACCGGGAACGCGAAGAAAGGTGCCATTGACCGCCCATCAGATCTAGACTTGAGACAAATGCCCGCAACTACGCAGTTGCTCATTAAAAAAAACATAGTATGTAGAAATCGAGACTACAATGCAATATGAAAGATTGTTTAGTAACAAGATAGTTGTTTGAGAGACTTGACTTGCAGACCGGGACTACTACGAATCTCGATGATATCACCCAACCGTGACTCTGGGAGCGTGGATACACATGTAAGAAATTGGAGCACCCTCGAGTCCATGGGTCGTATGGAGGACAAGTACTGGCCGCGGGAGGTTCCAGTAATTAGCAATAAGTGAGTGTAGTTAATGCGCACTCAAGTTTAGGAACACTGCAGCAGTGGTCACGGCACTTGCCGCAGCAGCGGCGCAGCATTTTCACAATGCCCCAGAAATGCTAGGAGAAGGATCGCCAACAGATTCGTTCAGACACTCAGCGTCAACAGTTGGATCTACAGGTTGACTAGGTAAATGATTGCGAGATCAAGTGCAGGTTTGTTCTGTTCGTCAGTTATGGTTATGTGCCCGTACATTTACAACTGTTGCTAAGGCCGCCCCTTCGGTCTTACAGTAGCGACTCAGGGAATACGAACGTGGGGTCGATTAAGTCCGAATCAGTGGGAAGCGTTGACGCGTCAAACTGGTAGATTGTTTTGGCCTTATCATTCGTGGTGAGGTTGAAAACTTGAACGGGGATATGATGATCTTATTGCTTTTTGTCCAGCACACAGCTGGCTTATACGTGAACCCTACTCCACCGAATTCCCCAATTATCCGCACATCTAATTCCTATGATTGAACATCACGGAACTCAAGGCACATCCCCAGCCACCGCAAGCTTCTTCGAATCTGTTGAGAACCGAACCGCCCCCGTGCCTCTAAATGGACCAGCTACGAGTTCTCCAGTTTCGAAGCTCCATATTCGCGTTGTAAAATCATCTGATCCGCTCGCCAACAACGTGTTGTCCGCAGAGATATCGATGCAGGTGATCCTCCGTGAGTGTCCTTCAAATGTTCGCACAATCCCCGTCTCAACATCACACGCTTTCAACTCATCTCCACCACTGGCAGTGATAACCCATCGACCATTCCTTGATACTGCTACCGCCCAAACTTGCCCTTTACAAACAACTCGCGCTTCCTCAATTTCCTCACCTACCTTCAGATCCCATTGTCGGGTGGTCTTGTCCCAAGATCCACTGATTATTCGCTGACCGTCTGGATAGTAGGATATAAATTGGACCAAGTCTCCGTGGCCCTTCAAAGTCATCGATGATGTCAGATTCGATGCCGTAGCATTTGCCTTCAACGTCGGGCAGAGGTCATGGCTGTGTCTCTGAGCCAACCTGGTAGTCGAGTACAGGCAAGGTATTCTTTGGATGCGTTGAAATACACAAAGGTGAGGTCTCCCGGTGTCCGTGTATTATATGACTGACGGTAACAGCGATTCGGATACGAGCTTTCTGGTAAATCCAAACATCAAATCCTTCGCGCTGGGGCCGAAGAGAATTTTGGTGTTACCAGGATGTTAGCGCTTTAGCAGCAAAGAACTGAAGGAGTGACGGATCCCTGAATGTGAGTCCTAGGCTCCGCCTGACATATATATACCCTATCTATATCATCACCTGTGCATTGCGCCCGTCATTCTATTCATCGCATTTGCTTCTCCGCCTCACAACCTTGGCAGTCACTGCCACGACTAAAGCATCAAAGCTGTCTTCCTATTCCCACCCAACGATGGGCAAGAAACACTCAAGTACTACTTCCAGTACCCGCTTTATCACTCGTTCGTCGTTTTTGCTTTGAATGGCTGAACGTTTACGAAGACCACCTTTCCTTGCACCTCATATCAAACTGTTCTGAGTACGCACATTACCTTTGAATCTATCAAAGTTCAATGTGTATCTAACACCAACATTCAATGCCGCTCCGCAAAATTCAAGATCAGGATGGAACTTGATCAGACCGCCGTCTGCGCATAAACTGTCGCACAAAAGGTTCTTTCTGGCTTTCAGTATCAGCGACGGTATATGCGCTGATAAGGGAACTCGGGTAATGCATATGCGTGTAGAAAATTGAACGCTTAGAAACGCGAGCTGAATGTTCTATGGATAGCCAGGTCTTGTGCATTTTGAGGTCAGCCCGCTTGAATATGTATAAGCTATGGTATAAGAGGTTGGACGTGACATTCTGATAACTACACAGTCTGCACTTACACTACATCAGATAAATTTGCCGTTTGAACCGACGACAAGTTCTTCGCAAGGCGAAAGGTGTACCATAGTAAACAAGAAATGACGGGTCCGATCAAGGTCTGATAATGAGAAAGTCAGTTAGACCAGTGCTCTCCTGCATCAATCCTGGATGCTAAATTAGATCATAGCAGAATTCGCGAAGAGAATGATTTTTCGTCGACGACAATGATTCTCCCGACTCCAACGACTGCAACCAACCCCATTGCGGCGTGGGTGTCACTAGAGAATACTGGAGTAGGCCTATGTTTAATACACAGGCGTATCTCATTTTATCCATTGTAAATAATTTCTGAACGCGAGATAGTCAAGAATCAACGAGACAGCGAGTAAAATTCATTCCTGATCGCTTCATCAGCTCCATCCGCCGAAGGACGGCCCCAAGGATTAGTAGACCAACATTGCTCTATGAATGGCCAGTATTGTTCGGGGAGCTCAGGATAACGAGATCGAGAGGGCGTTTGCGACTTGGCTATGCAGAGCGTGATGGTACCATCGTTTGTGAGGTGATAATAGGGTACTTTGTTGGTGAGCACCTATGTATGAGTAGACCTTTTCATATTAATGATAGGCCGGAATTAACCCAGACATACCTGCAGCATGACACCACCGAATGAATACATGTCGCTCTGCTCGCTTGGCCGAACTTGAGAGCCATCCTCCCGTTCTACGAGCAGCTCGGGAGCCATCCATCGCACATTTCCTTTGAGCGTGGACGTGTAGGAAGCCTGAGAGGCGCTTATGAACTCGGAGTACATCAAGGAAAGGCCAAAGTCAGCAATACACGCAGTGCCATCACCATGGATCAACACGTTAGGCTGAAGCTCGCGTTTGAATGAAATTGGAAGGATATCGAGAAGATCGAACTTACCCCGTTAAAGTCGCCATGGATGATATTGTTGGCGTGGACTGTGAAGAGTAGTTACAGCTCGGTCCGGTTAGAGAGAAGTTTATGACATACGGTAACGTAGACCAGCTATGATATCTGTTAGCTAAGATTTTCATCAGTTGGGTTTAATATGGATGAATAGAGACTTGCCAGTTTGAATCGTCGAACAAGAGTTAAAGCTGCACCCTCACGCTCCAAATAGAGCGACAAGTTACCATTCTCCGCCCAAAGACTGACTATTGCTGGAAATGGGCCGAAGCCATGGGTATAACCATAGATGCGTAGAATATTTGGATGATTGAGGTTGGCACATATCCTGAATTCACGCATGATCCTCTATGAAATGGCGCGGCGGCCCTGTGGTGTAAGTGAGGAACTCAATCTTCTGGTAAGACACTTGCCTGGATCTTTTTGGTCTTGGTTGGTCCAAGTTGATCATCAATGTACACCTGCAATGTTTTCACGGCGATCTGCAGATGATAAAAAGTTAGATAGATGGACAGACAAAAGATGGTAAACGAACTTTGATGGGGCTAGGATTAATGTGGCAGGTGCATTTCCAGATCTCGCCGAACCCGCCACGAGCAGCAGGGTAGTCTTCATCCTTGATGATATACTCTGAGAGGTCTTGGAACATTGCTTTGAGGTCGTCAGGCTCAACACTAACTGTCTGAGTGCGGGAAGAAGAGAAAAGGTTCCGGAAACCGTTCCGAACCCCAAACCAATGCTTTGCGACTGTAGAAGAGGGTATCTGCGATGGATGGGAAAAGGCTATCACAGGCAAGCTTTCGAGATCTTCTGTGGGTCCTTTTAAGCGTGCAGTGGTCTGTAAGGAAATGTTAGCACACAAAGTGAATGTCTGCGAGGAATGAATACACAGGCCTGAGCAAAGACTTCGGGTGGAATATCGCAGATGTAGATCTTGCGATTATCTTCGGTGTACGCTGTGTAAGCCAGCTGACGTGAGTCGGGTGAGAGTACAAGTATATTGGGACTGTGAACGTCAAAGGAGGCAAGGAGCTGACGGGACTCGAAAGCCCAGAGCTTGATGGTGTGGTCACCAGCGCTGGCGAGGAGAGTATGGTCAAATGACAGTGCTAGGCCGCTGACATACTTGGTGTGCTCTTCGAAACGAGTTCCAACAGTCTGTAGTGTCGATGCGTCAAATTCGTAGACTGAGGGGTCACTGGCAGGCAAACCGAATAGAGCCAGTATGTTTCTGTTGTTGTTTGTCCAGAATATTGGCGTACATGTAAAATTGTCTCCCTTGCCAGTGAGCGTGACATCCAATGTCTGTGATCGAATATCCCAGATTTCAAGGCACAGCCCCGATTTGACTGCAAGCTTCTTGGCATCTGTAGAAAATCGAATTGCGATCACTGAATTGGAACTCTTGAATGGACCGGCCACGAGTTCTCCGGTGTCCAGATTCCATATTCGTGTTGTTTGATCGAATGACGCACTTGCCATCAACGTGTTGTCCTCGGAGATATCAATGCAGTTAATTCTCCCTGCATGTCCTTCAAATATTTTCATAGCCCCAGTCCCGACATCACGAGCTTTTAGCGCAGCCCTGGTCCAACCTCCTCCACCAGTGACAATCCATCGACCGTTCCTTGACACCGCCACTGCATATACAACTCGTTCATAAAAATCGCGCGCTTCCTCGACTTCCTTGCCTGCCTTCAGATTCCATTGCCGAGTGGTCTTGTCCTCAGATCCGCTGATCATTCGCTGGCCATCTGGAAAATAGCATATAGATGTGATCCACTTTGCATGACCTTTCAAAGTTATGCATGGTTCCAGAATCGTGGCTATCTGTGTCGATGAGGAAGACATGGCTACGTCTCCGCGAGCGAAACCGTGAGGTAGTCAGGTAAAAACAAGTTTTCCGACAGTGCAAAGGTCAGAGCTCGCAGTATCGATGTACTACTATCGCTGACAGTGATTTGAAGAATAGGCCACCTGATAAAGCCAACTGTCAGCTCATCCGCACTGGAAGTCCAAATCAGAATTTGGTGTTACCGAGAGGTTAGCAGCAAAGACGTTGGGGAGCAATAAAGTCTTGAATGTAAGAACGGCCTTGCGCACAGCCCTGACACGCCTTTTCCACATGCAGCTGTGCAGGCGCCTAAATAACTTCTCAACCGGTGTCCATTTACATATTTCAAGGTCGACATCACCTTCCAGTCGTACACAGCACAATTGTCGAGAGTGAGAACGTAAAGTGACATGCTGTCTTTGCAACCTGTGAGTAGCCCTAGCGTTGATAATCATGGTCATTTTTAATATTCGACTCCTTTAAGCAGAATTCGATCATCCTTGCGGCAAGTTCGTACAAGGTTTCAAATTCCTTGTCGTCTATAATAGGCTCCTCGACGTTCAATATCGGTCACAAAAGACTGTTGGCTGCCTCAACTCTAACTCGACTCAAGCACCACCTTCATTGAATATATGCAAAGCAAGTCTTGGATTTTTATTTTGCTCGCTAAAACGATAACGTTGAAGTTCGAGTCGCTGTCGAACAGCCCAGATGACATGGGCAAGGCGGCGCCCCCAACCAAATGACCGGTATGCAAGTAGGCTCACCACGATCACTAGAACAGAGCCGTAGACAGAGATGTGTATACAGGCGCTAAGAGGCTCGGCACAGGCCTCGTCGCTGTACGATCTGTTTCATCTTCATTAGCATGCACGAAGGAGATGATAGTACATGCCATTTCAGAATAATTATGAGCCAACCAAGGACCGTTGACGCAGCGCCTGGCACATCATAACCGGGGTGAGAGCATCGGTAAAAGAACTAGCGTGAAACTCACTTGGTCTCTTGGCAGCTCAGGTATAGGTTCTATGGCAGATGACATTCATGACGGAAGGAATGGGAGCACGTTGATGCCTTTCGGAAAAATGCAAGTTAAAATTATTGTGGGTCGTTTGTGACCATAGATGAAATGGGTACTGCTAGTAGTGCAAGAACGCATTCAGGAAAATGGTTTGTTACAAAAGACTGTTGGTTGCCCCGACGCACCAAGTACCTTTATTGTCACACAACAACACCGTTCCTCATCACAGCACAAGCGTGTTCCACGATTACAAGCGAGATCATAGAATGGGCCTACATGAGTACCTAGATCTATTTATCTGGCTGTACCGTAAACAGATTTTTGAATGCGAGGCAGTCAAGAATCACTGAGATCCGGATAGCAAAGCAAATTCATTCCTGATCGTCGTGTCAGCTCCTGCCGCCGAGGGACGGCCCCAAGGATTAGCAGACCAACATTGCTCGATGAACGACCAATATTGCTCAGGAAGCTCAGGATAACGAGATCGAGAGGGTGTTTGCGACTTGGCTATGCAGAGTATGATAGCGGCATCGTTCGTGAGGTGATAATAGGGTGCTTTGTTGGTGAGGACCTATGAGTAGAGCCTTTCATATTAATGAGAGGCCAATATTTACCCGGACTAACCTGCAGCATGATACCGCCAAATGAATACATGTCGCTCTGCTCGCTTGGCCGAGCCTGAGAACCATCCTCCCGCTCTACGAGTAGCTCAGGAGCCATCCATCGCGTGTTTCCTTTGATTGTGGACGTCCAGGATGCCTGGGAGGCGCTTATGAACTCGGAGTACATCAAGGAAAGGCCAAAGTCAGCAATACACGCAGTGCCATCACCATGGATCAACACGTTAGGCTGAAGCTCGCGTTTGAATGAAATTGGAACGATCGATCGATCGATCGAACTTACCCCGTTAAAGTCACCATGGATGACATTGTTGGCGTGGACTGTGAAGAGTCGTTACAGCTCGGTCCGGTGAGAGGAGTCTATGACATACGATATCGCAGACCAGCTATGATATCCGTTAGCTAAGATTTTCATCAGTCGGGTTACGGGATATTCAATATACATGAAGAGAGACTTGCCAGTTGGAATCGCCGAACGAGAGTCAGAGTCGCACCTTGAAGCTCCAAATAGACTGACAAGTTGCCGTTCTCCGCCCAAAGACTGACTATTGCTGGAAATGGGCCGAAGCCATGCGTATAACCATAAATGCGTAGAATATTTGGATGATTGAGGTTGGCACATATCCTGAATTCACGCATGATCCTCTAAAAAGTGGCGTCCTGTGGTGTAAGCGAGGAACTCGATCTTCTGGTGAGACACTCGCCTGGATCTTTTTTGTCTTGGCTGGTCCCAGTCGATCATCGATGTACACCTGCAATGATTTCACGGCGACCTGCAAGATAATAAAAATTTAGATAGATAGAAAGACAAAAGATGGTAAACAAACTTTGATGGGGCGGCTAGGATCAATGTGGCAGGTGCATTTCCAGATTTCCCCGAACCCGCCACGAGCAGCAGGGTAGTCTCCATCCTTGATGATATACTTTGAGAGGTCTTGGAACATTGCATTGAGGTCATCAGGCTCAATGTTATGAGAAGAAAAGACTGTATGAGTGTGGGAAGAGGAGACAAGGTCGCGGGGGTCGGGCAGTGACTGGGATAGCTGTGAAGCTACTGTAAGAGAGTGACTTTGCGATGGAGGGAGAGAAGGTACGGCAGGTGACGTAGTTGTACTTTTGAGATCTTCTGTGGGTCCTTTTGAGCGTGCAATGGTCTGTAAGGGAATGTTAGCACACAAAGTGAATGTCTGCGATGAATGAATACACAGGCCTGAGTCAAGACTTCGGGTGGAATATCGCAGATGCAGATCTTATAATCATCATTTCTGAGATACGTTGTGTAGTAAGCCAGCTGGCGTGAGTCAGGTGAGAGGACAAGGGTATGGTGATCTTCAGCGTCAAAGGAGGCAAGGAGCTGACGGGACTCAAAAGCCCAAAGCTTGATGGTCCTGTCATGAGCAGCGCTGGCCAGGAGCGTATGATCAAATGACAGTGCCAGGCCGGTGACAGACCTGGTGTGCCCTTCGAAGGGAGTACCAACAGTCTTTAGTATTGATGCGTCAAATTCGTAGATTGAGTGGCTACTGGCTGCAGGGAAGCCAAATCCAACCAGTATGTTTTTGTTGTTGTTTGTCCAAAATATTGGCGTATATGTGTGATTTTCTTCTTCCTTGAGTGTGACATCCAATTTCTGTGATGGGACATCCCATATTTCAAGGTACAGCTCCGATCTGACCGCAAGCTTCTTGGAATCTGTAGACATTCGAATTTTGCGCACCAAACTGGAACTCTTGAATGGACCGGCCACCAGTATTCCGGTGTCCAGATTCCATATCCGCGTTGTGTCATCCCATGACCCACTTGCCATCAACGTGTTGTCCTCGGAGATATCAATGCATCTGATAGCGCTTGTGTGCCCTTCGAATCTTTTCACCACCCCAGTCCCAACCTCACAGGCTGTCAGCTCGGCACGACTCGACCATCCACCACCTGTGACAATCCATCGACCATCCCTCGACACCGCCACTGCAGATACCTCTGGCTTGTAAACACCTCGCACTTTCACAATTTCCTTGCCCGCCTTCACATTCCATTGCCGAGCGGTGCGGTCCCAGGATCCGCTGATTATTCGCTGGCCGTCTGGAAAATAGGACATAGATGTGATCATTTTTTTATGACCTTTCAAAGTTATGGATGGTTTCAGAATCGATTTCTTATTTGTCGACCTAGAAGCCATGGCTACGTCTCCGCAAGCGAAACCGTGAAATAGTCAGGTATGAACAAATTTTCCGAGAGTGCAAAGGTGAGAGCTTGCAGTATCGATGTACTACTATCGCTGACAGTGATTTGAAGAATAGGCCACCTGATAAAGCCAACTGTCAGCTCATCCGCACTGGAAGTTCAAATCAGAATTTTGTGTTACCGAGAGGTTAGCAGCAAAGACGTTGGGGAAGAATAAAGTCTTGAATGTAAGAACGGCCTTGCACACAGCCCTGACACGCCTTTTCCACATGCAGCTGTGCAGGCGCCTAAATCATTCCATTCATCACATTGGTTTATCTTCGCTTCTCGCCTCACTGCCATTAGTATCATCAGCGCGTCAAATCTCCTTTTCTAACCCCAACTTCATCGTCGTTCATTTGTCGATTTCGTTTTGGCTCGGCCACCTAATATTCCTATTAAATTGCTCTGATTACGCGCAGGCATCCCATCCAGCCTTCTTCGTAACTTCTCAACCGGTGTCCATCTACAGATTTCAATGTCGACATCTAGGTTGTGGACGGCCAGTCGTACACAACATTGTTGAGAGTGATAACGCAAAGTGACACGCTATCTATTCAGAGACGACATTTTCTCGTTTCCGCAGTGACTGGCAGTGCCACGCCTGACCGGAAAAAACAGTTATCTTTCTTCAACTTGAAATGACCTATTATGTAGCATGTTTGTGGATATCGTTAGAAACTTTGAGCCTGGCATTGCAAAGTTAAACAAAATGCACAGCCTAGCTTCAGGGTAGTCACATGTCACATGTCACATCCGGGCGGCGCGGCTTCGCAGTATTCGAATTCTCTTAGGCTACAACGTGCTTCTGCAAGTTGCACAAATCTGACGCCCACTGCAAATGATGCACAGGTTATGCGTGGCGCGATATCCTGCAAGTCACTTATGTCCTATTGACATCATCAGCGCTGTGGCAGGGTGTGGATGCCACATGCATGCCGTGATCCCCTCACTTAATATAAGCCATCGGGACCTCACAAGTTCTGCAGTATTTTCGTGACCTCCAGCACACATCTTATTCTCAAGTGTTGGTTGAAATCCATCCCTTATCCACATGTCAAGATCCGTCCCTGGCCATTTCAACGACTACCCTCCACCCTTAGGAGAGGGACTCAGTCATTCAGAACACCCCCAGGACACAGGACATAAAAACCCCGTGATCAGTGAAACGCTACAAGTCGTCGTCAATAGTATGTGTTACACTTATCTTCATTTACCACGTACCAAAGATTTCCCAAAGCACTCCTGGCGGTACTTTATCTCGTCGTTACTCTCTTGTTTTGTTTCGCGTTAGACTCTGTGTCAGACCCGCCCAATGATAGCCTGCAAGCATTAGGCGGGGAGCCGGGCCAACCAGAACAACCTCAGGATTCGGGAGAGACAAACCTGGTGACCAGTGAAATGTTACAAGTCGCCATCAACAGTATGTGTCATCTACCTTCACTCAGCACGTATTGCCCATGATTTCCCATGACAGATTCCCTGTCGGATCCACTCGATGATGCCCTCCCAGTCATGGATGAGGAGCCAAGCCTCTCAGAACACACACAGGACTCGGGAGAGATACACCTCAGTGGAGTGCAACAAGTCGTCATTACTTGTATGTATCATCTATCTCTATCCAGCTCGTATTGACGATTTCCCTCAAGCCATTCGTGCAACCGATCTCGCTCTTGGTCTCCAACGGATTCCCGCTGGCTTCCATGTGGTAGTCAAGGTTGACGGTGCTGAATATCGAACAAGCAATAAATCTGCACACGTGGATCAAGCTGTCATCGAATGGCACGAGCGCATTCTTCTGTAAGTGGTCTTCAACCCCGTTTGTCTTGCAAGTATTGAGAAAGACTCGAGGCCGTGTGAGCCATCTTCTAAAACTCTGGTCAGCGTGTATGCATCATTTGAATTGGGTGTCATGCTCTGTCACGGAGAACTCCTCCGCACATTCGAGATCTCTGTTGGAGAATTGCTGGATCGCAGCGAAAGGTCTCATCGTCAGTATTGTCCATTGCAAATAACGCCTGACAGATGCTAACAACTATCACAGCCATAATATTTCAACCGAAGCAGGAGGAAGTCGTATCCGCTTGTACTTCACTGTTCATGGTGGTGGGGCAGCGGCTTTCTGACCAAAACGACGGTGGAATTCTTTGTCCCCTTACTACCGTGAGTGATCAATGCAGTCCGGGATTCTGATGCTGATCGCTGTAATCTGTAGCTTACATCTCGCGATATGGATGCGTTAGCTCAAAGCACGGATGCCGGACATCGTCTTCTCGCACGATACCGCAGGACGCAGAACGACAATGATCTCGACCAATCCATAAATCACTTCCAATGCGCCTCAGATCTCTGCCCTGTGGATCATCCCTACCGCCCTGCAGCAATGTTCAATCTAGCTACTGCGAAGTTCATTAGTTGCCAAGCTAATGGAAGATACCTCGACCTCTACATACCTATCTCACTTTTTCAAGACGCACTTGTTTTGTATCCCACCGGTCATCCGGACCGACCCACCACCCAACTCCATCTTGCCGTTTCTCTGCTCTCTCGCTGCGCAAGGCGGGGATCTCAAACAGATGCCGACACAGCTGAAGAGTTACTGAGCGAAGTGCTGGATGTCTGTCACGTCAACAGTCACATTTACAGAGCAGCTTTGATTGCAATGGAAACATTTGCTCTGCATCCTGCTGGAAGCATTGATGCAAGTGATCTTCAGCAGGAGCAGCCTGCCGCACCCATACTCCCGTTATCGCCAGATCAGCTTTTTCACCGAGCACAGAGGTGTTTGCAGAGAAATGAACTCCATGCCTTAGATGAAGTGATATCCCTTCATTATGAGGTACTGGGATACTACAATACTGGACATGCTTACCGAGGGCAACTGCTATGTAATCTGTCTGTAATTCTGGAGACTCGCTTCAAGCGTCGAGGCAATGGCAAAGACTTGGATGAGGCCATCGCACTTCACACGGAAGCGCTGGCTTTGCTCCCGGTCGGTCACGCAGATCGGTCGATGTCGTTAAATAACCTCGCTCTTCAATTCTCCTCTCGCTTTGAGCACCGAGGCAACGACGAAGACGTGGATCAGGCTATCGCACTTTTCAGGGAAGCGCTGGCCTTGCGCCCGGTCGGTCACACATGTCGGTCCGCGTCATTAAATAACCTCGCTCTTCAACTCTCCTCCCGCTTTGAGCACCGAGGCAACGAGGAAGACTTGGATCAGGCTATCGCACTTCACATGGAAGCGCTGGCCTTGCACCCAGTTGGTCACACAAATCGGTCCGGGTCACTACATAACCTCGCTCTTCAACTCTCCTCCCGCTTTAAGCACCGAGGCAACGACGAAGACTTGGATCAGGCTATCGCACTTTTCAGGGAAGCGCTGTCCTTGCACCCAGTCGGTCACCCAAATCGGTCCATGTCATTAAATAACCTCGCTCTTCAACTCTCATGCCGCTTTCAGCACCGAGGCAACGATGAAGACTTGGATCAGGCTATTGAACTTCACAGGGAAGCGCTGACCTTGCTCCCGGTCGGTCACACAGATAGGTCAATGTCATTAAATAACCTAGCGACTCAACTCTCCACCCGCTTTGAGCACCGAAGCAATAGAGAAGACCTCGAGGAGTCACGAGAGAACCTCCGTTGTGCATTGGCTCTGATGATGCAACATGATCCTCTTCAATTACTGGTCCATAGGTCGCTGGCTAGAGTTAGTTTGTTGTTCCATCGTTCAAACCTTGGCGATACTGGCGCAGGTGAAGACACTGATTGTCTGAATGCTGCTATGTATCATTTCAAGGCAGCAGCAAATTCCGTCCCTGGAGGCTTGCTATCCCGCCTGCGAACAAGTCTGCTCTGGGTTGATGAAGCTTCTCAATATTCACATCCCGCTGAACTGGAGGCATATGCAACTTCCATGCAACTTCTGGATGCTTATATGTCTACAACATCTTCCGTATCGTCTCGTCACAATATCATGAAGGACTTCCCACGTACCCTTGCCGTTGATGCTGCATGCTGTGCTCTTCGTAGTGGTGATGTGTGTCGCGCTGTCGAGTTGTTGGAACAAGGCAGGACTATCATCTGGACCCAGATGACACGACTCCGCACCCCTCTTGACAGTCTCCAGACTCACGGCGATCATGCAGTACCCCTGATGAAGAGATTCAGAGACCTCAGCTCCCTCCTCGATAAACCTCCTGCGAACTATTCGGAAGGAAACTCGAGAGTAGATAGAGAAGCAGAGGAAAGTCGGTACAGACGTCTAGTGGCGGAGTGGAATAGAGCTGTAGAAGAGATCCGGAAGATCGAAAGCTTCTCCCGCTTCCTCCTCCCCCCCTTATTCTCTGACCTTCAAGATGCAGCTCGTGATGGGCCTATCATCGTGCTCATCGCAAGCGAGGCTTCGTGTCACGCCATTATCATCCCGCACAAGCAACCTCCAACTAGCATTCAACTTCCTACCGATTGGCAGAAACTCGTCAAATTAGTACCAGAACTCCGAGAGGCAGCTCAAAAAGAGGCCGGTCCTAAAGGGAACCAAACAGCGCTGATAAAAGCTTTGAGACAGTTGTGGGACGGTGTGGTCGGCTCGGTGGTCGAAAGTCTGGGCGGAATCGCACGACCAGGTTCCCGAATATGGTGGTGCCCAACGTCTCTCTTCAATTTCTTGCCATTACATGCTGCTGGCGAGTACAGGCCAAAGGGAAAATCCCTTTCGCAGCAGTATATCTCTTCATACACGCCATCGCTCACCGCGCTGATCAAGGCTCGCAGAAGTCATGACAGGTCCTTGTCGGTGCCCTTCGTGGCCATTGGCCAGGATTTCCCAGCCGGTGCCTCATTCACTTTGGATGCTGTGGAACCTGAGCTGGAGTTGGTGCGGGGACTTTTGCCCCCTCCCCCTACTGTTTCCTTCTCCAAGGTTACCAGCGTGGATGCCACGAGATCGAGAGTAATGTGTGCGTTGCGGGAAAATACTTGGCTCCATCTCGCATGTCACGGGACACAGAAAGTTGACGAGCCCTTCAAATCAGCCTTTCTTATGCGCGACCTGCCGCTTTCACTCCTCGATATCACGCAAATGGATCTGTCTCGGCATGAATTTGCATTTCTTTCTGCCTGTGAAACCGCCGTCGGTGTCTTTACAACACCCGACGAAGTGATACACTTAGCGGCTGGCCTGCAATTTGCCGGGGTTAACAGCGTCGTGGGGACGATGTGGAAGGTCACCGACAGTACCGTGCAGCACTTAGTCAAGGCATTCTACAAAAACTTATGCGGGGATGGTCCAATGAATTCCAAACGAGCTGCCTGGGCGCTGCACCGAGCGGTCCAGTCGTTGGCTTGTGATGAAGACATTATAATACCCTTGGACCAGCGCATAGTGTTCGTGCATATTGGCATATGATCAATTCCGTGCGTCCTCCCACCTTGTTGATTGAAGCATTCTGATGACTTTGCATGTAGCATCCAGTCATAGCCATGCCCAAGGAGTTCGATATTGCAGATTTTGAGACTGTATACCTACAGGATATCTACACCTAATTTGGACTCCAATTTTTATTTTACACTTTGTTGCCTCGCCGAAGCTAACTGATCTGAAAATGTACACTCAATTCGTATTGTACGCGTGTTCTGATACAGAGTTTTACCGCTGGCATACCCGGACCCCTACAATGCTGAGCGCTGATGTACTATAACAGTCACTATTGAATTGTCTCGGCACCGTTTAAGTCGCAATTTCTCATGTCCACAACAACCGTTCCCAGAATTCAAAATCTATCCGGCACGCTATCTTGCAGCTTAACGTGTGAGCAAAAATGTTCTCATCTCTATTATTGTTTGCAAAATAGCTTCACTTACCATAACTGCCACCATTTTTGACAAAAGTTGGTGTACTCATCACCAGTGTCGAGCTGAAGGTTGAAAGGGTGGAGGTTGGCTGCATTGACCTCCTCGACCTTTTCCTTGTCCCCTTTCAAAGATTCTTCTGACTGTTGCGAGTTCATAAGGAACAAGGCGGGACAAAAAATACTGGGCCAGATGGATGGCGGCTTGCCGAGGAAGAATCAGAACGCCATCCACCTTCAAGTTGTATCATTAATATATAATCGTACATGAAGATAAACGTGAGTTAACTAGAGCAAAGCAACGTTTCCACTGTTGAATGGGTGGGTCCACGAATAAATTTGAATGTGACTTACGTGTATACTTCTCCGAACCCTAGTGTTGCTGCCATTCTGCCAGGGACAATTAACACACCTTTTCTTCGTCCGTACCCTAGTGCATGAAATTGAATGTGACTCACGTGTGTGCTTCTCCGAACCCTAGTAGTCACCTAGTGTTGCTGCCAGTGGCAATGGCCTGGTCAAGCGGCTGGAGGCCCGAGGGCATTTGGAAGAAGCAGAGATACGATGACCTGGTATGTGCTCTCACCACGGCTACTTTCAGAATATCTCGATCCTAAGGTATCCGAGCCGCTGTCTATTACGTAATAATCTATTGATTTTTATTGGTCTTTGTGGCGCTGGCACATAATCTGCGAGAATTTTTTGTCATCTTGCAGCTTAACGTGTGAGCAGAAACGTTCTCATCTCTATTTTGCATTCAGTACGTGTTCTGATACAAAGTTTTATCGCTGGCATACCCGGACCCCTACAATGCTTTCTCACCTGATGTACTACACTATTGAATCGTCTGGGCACCGTTCAAGTCACAACTTTTCGTGTCCACGACAACCGTTCCCATACACGACCCCCAAATCCATGCAGTGTCAGCAGTCTCAGAGTCGAATATGGCTTGTGCACTAAGAGAACCAACAACCAGAAATGCTAGGAGAAGGATCGCCAACAGATTCGTTCAGACACTCAGCGTCAACAGTTGAATCTACAGGTTGACTAGGTGAATGATTGCGAGATCTTTAAGTCAAGTGCAGGTTTGTTCTGTTCGTCAGTTATGGTTATGTGCCCGTACATTTATAACTGTTGCTAAGGCCGTCCCTTCGGTCTTACAGTAGCGACTCAGGGAATACGGTATTAGCGTAGTATTCGTCTCTTCAAACATGACACTATTAAATATCATCGTGATGAGGGTCTGCAAGTGTTTGTTTGAGTGCAAGGCAGGAAAAGGATTCTCAAATACTTACTCCTCTCGACATTTTCTCCAATGTTGTCCATGTGCCATGCGGCTCAAATCAATCTCTGGACCTCCTCTAGGTACCACTAAGGCAGTCCGAGGGCAATAAAATGCATGTCGAGAAGCAGGCGGCACCCAGAACAAGAGTCTGCGGTTGAGTCCTACCACCCACCCACTGTCGTGATTCAGGTCAAAGGTAGTCGAACTGTGATCATCATGGGATGCTGCCTGCACCATCTCATCTGTGTTGCACAGCGCGTGAGTAGAATTGGATGAGAAGCGAATGAGTTGTTTGTTCTGAGTGCTAGGTGTCATGGTGGTGGCCTCGATGGGGTGCACGCGATATTCATCTGGGGACATTGTATGACCTGACTTGACACACTGTTGCAAGGGCTTCTCAACCACTGCATCCCACAGCCGTACGGTAGAATCCCAAGAACTAGTTACGATGCGAGTGCCGTCGGGCGAGAATGAGGCTGAGCTAGTGGCACTGGTGTGCCCTCGCAAGGGTTCACCAAGGGGCAACCTGGTCGCCGCATCCCATAACCGGACAGTATTGTCCCGAGAAGCGGTCACGATGCGAGCACCATCCGGTGAGAATGAGACTGAGGTAACATAATTGGTGTGCCCCAGCAATGGCGGGCCAACTGGCTTCTGCGTTATTGTATCCCACAGGCGGACAGTGTTGTCCCAAGAACCGGTCACAATGCGAGTGCCATCTGGAGAGAATGAGACTGATGTAACCACGCTAGTGTGCCCCAGCATGGGCCCACCAACTGGCTGCCTGGTTGTTGTATCCCACAGGCGGACAGTGCTATCCCAAGAACAAGTCGCGATGTGAGCCCCGTCCGGTGAGAATGAGACTGACCTAACCGGACCAGTGTGCCCCAGCAAGGGCTCACCAATAGGTTGTCTCGTCACTACATCCCACAGCCGAATAGTTTTGTCCCAAGAACCAGTCACAATGCAAGTACCATCCGGCGAGAATGATGCTGAACTAACAAACTTCGTGTGTCCCTCCAAGGGCTCACCAACTGGCTTCATCGTCGCTGTATCCCACAGCCTGGCCGTGCGATCCCAAGACCCAGTCACGATGCGAGTGCCATCCGGTGAGAATGAAATTGATGAAACTACGGCAGTGTGTCCTCGCAAGGGCTCGCCGACTGGCTGGCCCGTCACTGCATCCCACAGCTGAACAGTTGTGTCGTAAGAAGCAGTTGCGATAAGAGAACCATCTGGTGATAATGAGGCTGAGGCAACTCGTTTAGTGTGGCCACGCAAGACCCCACCAACTGGCTGGCCCATTGCTACATCCCATAGTCGCGCAGTCTTGTCCCGAGAACCAGTGACGATGTGAGTCCCATCCAACGAGAATGAAACCGAGTGAACCCAATCGGTATGCCCCTCCAAGGGCTCTCCGACTGGCTGCCTTGTCGCCACATCCCACAGGCGGACTGTGTGATCCCAAGACCCGGTCACAATGCGAGTGACATCTGACGAGAATGAGACTGATGAAACCGCGTCAGTATGCCCCCTCAAGGGCTCACCAACTGGCTGGCTTGTGACTGCATCCCACAACTGGACAGTCGTATCGTAAGAAGCACTCGCGATGAGAGTGCCATCCGGTGAGAATGAGACTGAGCTAACAACGTTGGTGTGCCCCAGTAAAGGCTTACAGACTGGCAGCCTTGTCGCTGCATCCCACAGTTGGACAGTGTTGTCCCGAGAACCAGTTGCGATGCGAGTGCCATCCGGCGAGAACGAGACTGATGTAACGATTCCAGTGTGCCCCTGCAAGGGCTCACCGACTGGCTGGCCTGTCAATACATCCCACAGCTGGATGGTCTTATCGTAGGAACCGGTCACGAGGCGAGAGCCATCCGGAGAGAATGAAACTGAGGAAACTCGATCAGTGTGCCCCCGCAAGGGCTCGCCGACTTGCTGGCCTGTCAATGCATCCCACAGCCGGATGGTGTTATCCCAAGAAGCAGTCGCGATGCGAGCACCGTCCGGTGAAAACGAAACTGAGCTAACATAATTGGTATGCCCCAGCAAGGGCTTACCAACTGGCTGTCCCGTCGCTGCATCCCACAACCGAACAACGTTATCCCAAGAACCAGTGACGATGCGGGTGCCATCCGGTGAGAACGAGACTGACCTAACCGGACCAGTGTGCCCCCTGAGCACGTTCTGGACAGCTGGCCAGCTCATGTGACGCCCAGATGCCACACAAAGAGTACTCGGAAACCGTGCGGAATGTTTTCGTGATAGCGGAGAATCGGCAGGCGAGAATGGGAGTGCTGATACATACAAATGTGGCGTGCTGTGTAAAATGATGCCGCTGAAAACTTGAATGAACCTCTGGACGTCCATTGCAATCGACGAAATATCTTTGAATCCAGAATGGCCCTGCAGTTGTGCATGAGAACTTTATCTGTCCAGTGAACATGTGCTCACCTTCAGCCACTGAGAAATCAACGGAAGGGCAGAAACTGCACCGCTAAGCGCATTAATAAGGCCGAGCAACTCGATCCAAAACAGCAGTCGCTCGTGGTCGAAGAACGATTTTACTTCTTGCGCAAGCTCCATGTCGAATATTGTGGTTCGTACGTGCATCATCCAAAATCGACTGGAATAGGACAGATGAGGTGGGATGCATTGTTCAATTCGTTCTTGCAGCCCTATATCTTCGGAATTTGGGATATACGAAGATTTCATATCACAGATGTTGAAGCGAAGACCACGTTCCATCACTCGAAGTGACGCAAATGCAAGGTCGCGTTGCACCTTCGAAACGCCGATGAAAAACTCTCCACCCCATACGTTGTCCGTTAGGAAATCGCGGAAGGATGCGTGAAGGGGTCGGATTGGGGAATTCGAGTTGGTGATGCCGCTGAGAAGGGATCCCATGGATTTTACCGTAAGCCCCACGTCGTAATGGTCCTCTTGCATCGGAAAATGGCACCTCATGGCATTCAGGGAAGTTAATGGAAGGGGTTCGGCTGTGCCTAGTATTTGTCCCATAACTGAGCGGAATCTCGCTATTGCCGTCGAACGCAGTTTCTGCGAATGGTGCACTCTGGTAGATGTATTCTGCTGCAATATATCTGTTAAAATGAGGCGATACATGTCGTACAGCAGCATGCTTCTCTCAGCAGGATCGCGTGACACCAAAGCGTCGAAACATTCAACTGGAGATGATCCAACGAGGGGTTCTTTGACGTATCCACAGGCGAGACGAGCCCACTCGAAAAGTCCATCAGCTTTCTCAGCGAGGACGGCTAGATCTCTGCCCTGCAAGTCCAACTCTTCCAACTCCTTGGATATATAAGCATGTATGTCGTGCTCTGCGACTGCTTGTGGAATTTCGTCCATAGACATCTTCTGAATGTGCGGAGCACCTAGAAGTTCAGCTTGAATGTCAGGGAGCGGGCGAGATGTAACAATGATCTTGAAGTTACGTGGGAGGTCGTTGATTCGAGGGACGGCCAGTTTTCCGGAAAGAATACGGAGAAGGTGGCGACGTGTCTCGACACTGCCACTTTCGTCTAATGCATCAATGACGATCACAACAGGCCCTGCATTTGATGCCGAAAGCTGCCCTATCGGTTCCATCAGAAGCTTTTCCCACTGCTGGACAACATCCACCGTGTTCTTGAGGGCGCTCTCAGCCTGAACTACATTTGCCAATGCTCGTTTCATTCCTGGATCACGGTCGGCCAGGTCGCGCGCAATGGTGGAAAAAATCTTTTCATGTCGACGGTCTGCTTCTCGGTGACGGTCAAAACAATAACAGGAACCAAGCCCTCCCACGTCGTGGAACCAAGTAGCAATAGTGTGGGCAATAGCTGATTTTCCCTTGCCTGCAGGACCATATAACCACAGTACGCGTGGAACATCATCTCCAGTGCTGTTGACCCAGTCCGTGATCTGGGAGAGGATTTCGGTGCGTGTCCCTTGGAGGCATTGTTTTGTGGTATCTAGTCCTGCACCCGTCGCGCAACTCATACCACTGAGGTTCACGTCATCGCCTGAAGAGGCATGAATAAATGTCAAGTCAATGCACAAAATGCTGACCTGTTTGGTGGATGAAGAGGGATACGTCCCGAATGACTTGGTCGCGGAAATTCTGCATCAGTGTATCCAACACGTTATTGTACTTCTCAATCGTATTGTTTGTTTCCGAAATGATGTTCTTTCCGAGTCGGGTCCCTATATAAGATTGAGAACATGTAAAGTGCAATGACTTATTAGAGGCTCACAAAAGTTCCTCCTCTCCGCGTAATCGCTGATAAAATGTGCACATTCAAGGGTTTGTTGAGATATCTGTCCGACGATAGCACGCATCGACGAAATCTGATTGAGTGTCTGGTCTTGTGTCATGAAGCTGTAAACCTGACTCAATTTCTCGAGAAGCTGAAGTACTGCTTTATCGCGATCCGCTTGAGCAAGAATAATCTGCATGAATGACGACTGAGCAAAATAACAATGAGCATGAAACTAATGTACCTGTGATGCACAAGACAACACCCCCAACGCCATCTTTGCATATGGATGTACCTATGAAACGTGATTAGTTCGTTTCGTATCGAGAAGAAGGATCCATACATCTGCTAGCTTCCCAATAACGGAATCAAATATCCTAAGGGGTCCAAGATATGTGGCGGCGAGATTGTCTGCAGTATCAAGACCTGTTGGCACATTTTGGGCGACATCCGCCACAGTTTCCGCATGTCCCAAGAGTGGATGCATGCGCTGTGCATCTTCTTTGGCACTCCGAAGTGCTGATTGGGGATCAATACTTTGTTTCACCATCGAAGGCCCAGGGGCAACCTGAATCTGCATGAACATCAAAATTTAGACAGCGCAGAGACTAAAGAGCAAGTTTGAGTACCCACCTGGATATTCGAGGTTAACGAAGCAAGTTCATGATCACCGTTTGAGAGAACAGGGTTAGGGTTGCGGATTGAACCCTTTGAGCGCTTTTGCACAATCTCAGCCTTATTCCAGACGCTAGAGGTATCCTCTTGACTCACAGACATCCTTTTTATATCATCCTTGAACTTGCCCAGAAATCGACAGACTTTGCCACGGGGTCGGCCCTAGACCAAAGATGTAGAGTTAATGCTCAACATTTCAAGTGCATGAGCAAGCAACCTTCACATACCGAGCCATTACCAGCTATTGAGCTGCGAAGTTCTGGAGGAGCTGGCCTCAAATTTGTCGACTGATCATCTTTATCCATGGTAAGTTATTAGTTAACGATTGGGATAGGCGACGGTAGGTGGTTGAAGTGGTTATAGTCGGGAAAGCGAGGATGACACGTACATTACATCAAATAACAGCATGCTCCTGGTCACAAACCTCGAGGCATACATAATATTTGCTACAGTTTTGACCTCAAAAACTTCAAAAAGCGTTAGATGGGCGCTGACGGACGTCACTAAGTGGAGCATCACACCGAGACATGCAGACGCTCGGGAGTCCCCTTCAATTTGAACCTTAGTTTGCTGAAGATTGATCAAGACATTAACTTTACTTAGTAGCACAGACTCCCACAAACATTATGTAGTCGGCCACCATTCTCGGTGCTTGCATACCAGCGTCTATCGTGCCGGCCGTATCCACGCCAACGAACGAGGTATTGGAATCCGCGACCGCGTGTTCTTTTGTCTAGCAGCTCCTCGGTCTCCCATTCTTCGGCACCTGTTGGTGTGCATTCAAGTTGGTCTTGGCCTTTGCAACTCTCGTGAAGGGTATAGGTCGGCTTTGTGCCGTCCAATCTGCTCAATTCAGAGATGAGTCACTGTCGATTGTACGAGACTGTACTGCCACTTATCCGAGGCACACGCTGATTGCCGAAGCTTGTTGAATTTTGTTAGACCTAATTCGATTGCTCAAGTCGACATTTGAAACCAACATGGAAATACGCGTGCAGCATGGCCTGAACGAACGGCCTGAGCCCTCCTCTCCCGGACTTCACCCTCAGTCCCCATGTTCCTACCTGCATCTTCCTTCTCATAAATGTACATCCGCTGACATCTCGTAGTTTTGTCCTTCACACCCGTTCGTAGTGTCTACCCTTCCCTGACGCTGAAGGCCGTCATTCTACATGCTTACGACGATCAAAACGGCGCATTGTTTGATGTAAGTTACGTTGTCTCTATTGTTAGCTTTTGCTGACGGAACGCTGTAGTCCTTCGTGGACTGTGAGACTGCTCTGAGTGTTCAATGCACAGAGACGAGTCACGCACGGTTGTATGACACGCGCCTCGGATGAACCCTGCGGAATCAAGGACGGATCTAATAGTACTCTTGCGGACAGTAGGGGACGAGATCATCCTACCTTATCGTCAATGTACTCGAGCACGTCCTTAAAGTAAAGCATCGTTCTCGAATCTGGCTGTGTGTATTCACGTCTATTCCTCTCGGAGTTCATGCAGCTAACCCCTTTCAAACAAAGGCAGATCACGCTGGGAAGGAGTCGTGCCTGGAGGATCTCTACATCTGTTCTTACACACCGACACTTCCGGCTTTGATCAGATGAAGAAACATGTTGCTTTGTTCTTCATGGCGATCGGACAACGTCAACCGGGTGCAGGGAAAAGCAAGGCGCTCTCGGCTGTAGGCAGCGAGCTTGAGCTTGTCCATAAGCTCATCGGTGTGTAGTACTACGTTGTATTGCTATCGTCTGGTACATATTTACAAGTTATTTATCTATGGTCCTCTTGCATGTTGTCGTCGACCCTGCACTTAGGACATGGCATCATGGCAACGACTTCAAGGACAAGTACATCTGAAGAAAGAAAGTTACACAGCGGCCACGCCCAATCATGATTTGCGGCAATTCACCTGAATGATTGACTTCTTGCCAATGTAGACCTCAGCGAGGAGGAAGGTACACTATGTTCTGTTTCTACCTTTGTGGCTTCGTGCCAAAAAAGTCGTCATAGATCTTCTATGATTGGTATGTGTTATAGCATTACTTCGTATTCGGATCGCCCTCAATGCACTCAACAATGTGTCGCTAGTAGATGCGTTGATACGGTTGCTGTGTTTGCGCCATCCGAAGGTACTAAATAGAGTGCTGGCGCATAAAAAACAGAGGTTGTTTGGAAGTCGTGTCCAATACACTTCTGACCTCCAATCTACCATGGTTTTACTGCACAATGGACGCAGACAAGCAGGCTTGGCCACCGAGTCCTCTCTTGACACGTCTTTTCCCTCCCTCGCTGATTCCGTGAGCCCTCCCGAGATGTGGGAGGATGTGAACATATCATCTACCGACTATGCCCGCAGACGCAGTGAGCTTATTCAAATGATGGTCAAGCTCAGATCCATGGGGTGGGTGTTTGCAGACATGGTTATAAGGATATATCACTCACGCTACCTCTTACAGTGCTGATGCTCTGATCGACTTACCATCTGTTGTGGTAATTGGTGGACAATCTGGTTTGTCGTTGCCTATATTGCAACTATAATTATATTTAATATAATATCTCAGCGGGAAAAAGCTCACTCGTTGAGGCTGTCAGTGGGGTACGTCAGCAGACAGTTTGTCCTTCTATCCCGTTTGTTCATTATGATAAAGATCAATGTCCCAAGAGATAGCGGAACATGTACAAGGTGACTCTTCTAATCACCATTGGTTATTGCAATGCTCATACTACTACATGCAGATGCCCCATGGAATGTACAATGTCAAGTCATGCCTCATCGTGGTCCTGCACTATCACCCTACGTATCGGCTTCGATCGTAACGGCGTAGACCTCCAGAAACCTACTAATATGCCTTTTAGTCAAACGATCACAGACAAAAGTGAATTTGAGGTTTGGCTGCGTCGTGCTCAGGCGGCTATTTTGAACCCGGACGTTTCTTCTTCGACTTTCCATACGAAAACTATCGAAGAACTCAGGAACATGAAAAACACACTCAAGTTCTCCCGCAACGTGGTGTGCGTCTCAATTGAAGACCCTGATGCGACTGACCTATCGTTCTATGATTTACCTGGTGATTATATCTTCATCTAAATCAAGACGACATATCTGATGGGCAGCGAAGGCTTGATACAAAACGAGGAAGCTGAAATCGTCGCATTAGTGAAGAATTTGGTAGAGCATTACACCAAGAAAGAAAACACCATCATATTGACTACAATTCCCATGAGCGGTAGGTGTTTGAATTGCGAAATCCTGTTCTACTGAATTGATGGGTTCCATGCCAGATGATATGGAAAATCAGCAATCCATGAGTCTCGCCAGGGCCGCAGATCCTGCTGGCAAGAGGACAATCGGTAAGTCACCCATACTGTAGTATGATTCGATCATTAAACGCTCTTCAGGTGTACTTACAAAACCTGACACGCTCGGCGTCGGAGCTATCAACCAACGTCGCAGATGGGTAGAAATCATCGAGGGTCGTTCACAGGATCACACGCTGAGGCACGGCTTTTACTGTGTGCGTCTTCCCGATGACGCCGAACGCGCACAACGCCTGTCTCGTGTTGAATCGCAAAGGCGTGCCGCTGAATATTTCGACACAACGTCGCCCTGGAAGGACGTGAGTGATCGTCATCGATTTGGAATTCCAGGCTTCGTTTCAGATGTGAGCCGATTGCTCATCAAATTGATCGAAGAAACGTGCGTAGACCTTCCAACCGGGTCGTCATAGAGTATTTACATTCTCTACAGCTTGCCGTGTCTCAGAGATGATGTCGACAAGCTCCTTGCAAAATGTATTAAGGACCTCGACGAATTGCCGCCGCCACTTGCAAATGATCCGCAGATTGAAGTTTTAGGACGAATGAACGCGTTCTGCGATGACTTCAAGAAGTTCGTGAATGGCAGTCATGAAGGCAAACATCTTGCGCAGCGGAATCGCGCTCTTTACGCCATATTCAAGAAGGATATACGCGGCACTACCCCCGATTTTAGGCCCTTTGATCAACCGGAAGACTTTGTTCTAGTGCTGGATGACACTGAGGATAACATGACTCTTTCTGAGCGAGATCCTGGCGTAAAAGTGATGGGCATATATGACATCCGCAAGGTCGTTCAAGAGTATGTTTTTGTGTTTTATTCTGGTAGTTGAGCACAGCTCAACCAATATATTCATCAAGGGCCATTGGATGGGAGTTTCCCAACAACGTGCCGTATCAGGCCAAAGTCAACCTCATCGCTCAATTTACCAAACTCTGGGTTGCTCCGTCTGAGCGCTGTCTCGCTGGTATCAACGATGTGCTCGATCAAGTCATCAACACACTCATAAGCACCCATTTTGGACGCTTCAAAGTTCTTGAGGACTATTTTGGGTAAGTGTCAACTCTTCACAATTATTGTCTGGGCTCAAGTTATCTGGGGCACCAGAAAACTAATTAGAGTCCAGGTCGACATCTACAAGGCGCGCGCCCAAGTTGCTGTCAAATCAGCTTTGGATCTGGAAACTACTCCACACTTCACTCAAAACACGGATTATCTCCAAACGCTCCGCGACAAGTGGCTGTCACGCTATAAGACAGCTCGAAGTAGATCTTCTCAGTACAAGGCTCATCATATTCGGGAAGATGGGGTCGTACCACCACAACCTGAGACCCCGTCCAGTAAATCTAAAGCCCGAATCAGTTCGACTATAGAGATAACTGAGGAAAAGGCTTTGAGGGCTCTTGCAGAAGCAGGGTACACCAATCTTCGGGTTTCAGATCTTGCACGGTTGTTACCTCCCGACTCATTCGAAGAAGAGCTAGTTGTGATGGCCGATGTTCGAGCCTATTATCATGTTGCCTACAAGGTGAGTCTCGTTCATCGTCTCCGTTTTCAACGTGTTAATTGCCCTGAACAGCGCATTATTGACCACATTCCTCTTACGATCGAGCATGCTCTCCATCATGCTCTAGCGGGACAACTCTCGCAGAGCCTTCTCACGAGCTTGCTCACGGATATGGCATCTGGGCCTAACTTCTTTGAGCGTATGAAGGAGTTGGTCAGCGACGACGCCTCTATCGCTCAGAAACGCACAATGCTCGCTACAAGAAGACAACGCATATTGGACATTCGCCGGAGACTCGTGACCTTCGGTATTAGTACCTGACCAAGAGGAACTTAGATGTACGTTCGTTTGCTGGGCTTTCAAAATCCTACAGCCACATGACGTCCTATTCAATGAGCTCTGTTGTATAAACTGCAATCTTTTCTTTGCGTAGTTGTTGCCGTGTTGTTCAACGTCGCATGCTTGCCTATTATTACATTTTTGCGAATGCCACCTTTGTTGCTGAAAGACCACCTGGTAAGAATGTGATCAGAATATCGGGAGTGCTGCAATATATTAGCATTATGGAGCAAGCATATATAACATACAGTCACCTTTTCAGCTACCACGCACAAGACCGATACGTTGCTATTGAGCACACAAGGAAACTCTGCTTATCGCATACGGAAGTACATAGGTAGTGAATTTTGGCCTTGATGTGAAATTGTCAATCGATCTCGGCCTCACGTGACCACACCTGTGCGTGCAGTGGCTGTGTCTCTGCGCGCATAACTTAGTTTCTTTGCAGTCTCAGTGTCTGCTCTAGTGTTCATTGTACATGGCTGGTAAGTCCACATTTTTACCTGAATTTATGTATCCATGCCATTGAGGTTATGTATAGATCAAGTAGAACTCTCTTCACCTCCATTCGACAGCGTATCCCAGGTACGCTTCTCCCCGACAAACCCTGACCATCTCCTAGTATCTGCCTGGGACACTGTAAGTTTCCATCTGTCTTTTTCGTTCGCTAAGATTTGACCCACATATCACCAGACTGTACGATTCTATGATGTGGCCACGAACGAACAAAAAGCCAAATTTGATCATCGCGCAGCCGTCCTTTCCTGTCTATTCGGTGACTCGACCCATGCTTACAGTGGATGTTTGGATACAGGAGTGCGGGAGTGCGTATCCCACTTTATTTCTCGAGAAAGACGCCGACTTTTTCTTGCAGGCTTGATCTCACAACAGAAAAGGTGACTTCTTTGGGTCAACATTCCAACTCGGTCTCTGCGCTCTCCTATGCGCGTGAAATCAGTGCGTATCTCAATCCTACATCTCTTTACATATTTTCTGACTAATTATTGCCTGTTAGATACGCTCGTATCTGGTTCATGGGACCAATCGCTTCGTTTCTGGGATCCCCGCGCACCAAAAGCAGAAGTATCGAATCATGTGCTCCCCGAACGCGTTTACCACATGGATATAGTGAACAACACGCTCGTCGTCTCCATGGCCTCGCGCCTGTTCCATATATACGACGTACGACGAATGTCCGAGCCCGCGCAGACAAGAGAGAGCAGTTTGAAATTCATGACGAGGAGTTTAGCGTGCATGGCTGATGGACAAGGTGAGTTTATATCTATTCCTTTCGTGTTCAGGGGCAACGTGCTTCATGTTTTAACTTGTTCGTAGGTTATGCGATCGGCTCTGTGGAAGGCCGTATCGGCGTGGAGTACTTCGACCCAAGTCCAGAAATCCAGGACAAGAAATACGCGTTCAAGTGCCACAGACAAAATATCGAAGATGTGGATCACGTTTGGCCGGTTAATGCACTCGCATTTCACCCGGTGTATGTGTCTTCTCGTTCTTTTGCCGTAATTAATCAGTTTATACTTATTACTCATATCATGCGATCAGACACAATACATTCGCATCCGCAGGGTCGGACGGCACCGTCTCCATCTGGGACCACAAAGTCAAAAAGCGCCTTAGGCAGTACCCGAAATACGCGTCTGCGATCCCCAGTATCGCGTTCAACTGCGACGGCACGCGTCTGGCAGTGGGCGTCAGTTATACGTGGGATGAGGGAGAGGAAGGTCTGAAAAAAGAAGGCGGTACGGTCAGAGCCATTTGGGTGCGCAAGGTTGGCGATGAAGTCAAGGTGCGTGATTTCTTTCTTGCTTCGTCCGCATACAGATTGATGATCCTTTTTCTTGTACAGCCTAGGGCGAGTGGCTGATGGGGAACGCTGTTGAACGCCGTGCTGTATTACATTTTGTGCTAATGAATTTGCCCGTAAAACTTCACCCCGCCGCATGTGAACGTGAGGTAATACGCCTGATATCTGCGACGTACACTGCGCAGTGCAGACTCAGTAGGGCATCGAGGCTTATACGATCAGACTTCTCCTCTAGGGCTTAGTGTTGCCATCGAGTTTGAGGCAACGTAAACTTGCTAGAACGCACTGTTCTAGGCCCTCGGTTGTCAACCATCTAATGTGGGCCGGGCCTAGAACAACTGATCAGGTTGCGAACTGCATTGCAGGAGACAATGCGTGTGCATGTACATGCATAATTGTTACCTCCATCCTCTGAGAGTGCACCCGTACACCCTAGCAACTCGTAAACACCGAGCCCCGCCGTGTCTCTCGAAGATCATAACAGTGCGTTTGGGCGCTAATCGAGTGCCTTTCGTTCGCTTTTTCAAGTTATTGTGACCCGAGGTTATGGTACTGATCAATGAAGGATTGCTCTCTGCATAGTTATCAAAATCAAACCTTATCGATCCCCTTCCCTTCTCCCAGGTGGTTCCATTATCTAGATTCCACGCACCCCTGACGGGTACCGTGACCCTTGCGGATGACTCGCGAATTAACTGACCAATCGTGAACTGCACCCAAGAATTCAATATCTGCTGTGGTTCAGGCAAAAAATTCAGATGGCAATTTACGTTGGGCAAAGTATATCATATGCAGAATCTGGCGGGCACCAACCACCACCACCAGCCTGATTCCTGAGGCATTTGTCGGCTACCTGAACACAATTGAAGAAACGAGCATTTAATCCGCGGCAACCATTGTTTGTCTATTTTAATATCAATGACACTACCATGAGAGTCGTAGACTGCCATGCATCGAAACCAATGATATCCGAGCTTGCAAGTGAGCACATTTCGCCTAGCGAAAGAAGGTTCAGTAAGAAGTCGATATGAGCACACCTGCACGACACCCGAATTCACGCCGGAAAGACAGTGAGCACGCCACTATCACTTTCGACCTATAGGATACCGACTCTCACAAGGCCAACGAGCACCGTGAACGACAATCCGGCAAATACATGGTCACCGCGATCATAGGTGACGGACAGTGAGAGAAGGCCGCCACCCTCGTGACGTAAAGAGGGCGGTGATGTTACACGTGTATTCGTGACCGGCTAGAACTTCGCCGCGTTAACTCGTTATGGTTCTCCCTTTGAACACCCCATTAATGGATCGTTTATGAAAAAGAAACAGGCCGCTGCTGCGTCGCTCTTGATGAGAAGATTCATCATTCGCTTCAGTACCGATGAAAGTCAGACGCGTCTCAGGTTCCGTCGGGAGTACCTGAATCGAACAGCAGTAGGATTGACCCGGATGTCGTGTTTCGATGTTGTGATGGATGGTTCGTCGTGGAAAAAAAAAGCACAGACCACGGTTGTCAAAGCTGTAATATGCGTGCTGCTGAATAAATCGAGTACAGAGTTGAGACGCGTAAGAGGTGGATCGTACGTTAAGCGTTATACATAGACCTGTTCGCATCCTAGGACCGGCGAGTGACGTGAAGCTTCGAGAAGTGGTCGGCCAGGCTCCAAACCGTCCGTAGTGTTTTTCGACCAATGAGCGATCGCTGGAATTATTCGGCAAATAAGAAATGGAGTGATTGATGTCAGAGCAGTTCTGGTTTCAAGAAGCTTTGGACACCGTAATCATTAGCCAGCTTGAAGCATGGCCGCTTGACGATAATCAGGCCCGTCTTGGAAGATATACAGGAACATCATGGAGCGAGAATGCAAGAAATAGGTTCATGAATGGTTAGGCTACAGCAAACCGAATATTCAATCTCAGCAGTATACGTGTGCGAGGCGGCTTAGTCAGAGTTCCGTTCAGTTCTCGTAAAACGTTGAGGAAGCCTCAAAATATTGCCAGCGCTCATATATTGAAACAGATCGGGTACTAACGAGCCTTTGAACCAGCCGCTTTTGCAAGTATTACACCCCGTTCTTCCATTGGTCGGCAAACCATTTGGAACAACTTTACGGAGTCACGGATCGGATCACGTCGGCCTTACACGACAAGATTATGATCTCGAGTCCCCCTTGTTAGGCTGTGGCGCCATGCTTTATCCCCCCTTTGCATATGTGGCACATTTTCAAACTGCGTAGCACTAGTGAGTATGTTCCATCCGGTCACAACGCAGGTCTCCTGACATCACTTTTCATATTCACTGTCCTCTGTCAAACAGGCCTACTCGTAGGCTGAAATAGACCGCTTTTGATCCCTATGGAGGCGGTATGTCCTGCTACTATCAATATGCTGTATATGAAACACTGACACGTCAAACCATTTGCACCCAATTGATCTTGCATTGTTCACTTCAATTGGTATATCTGTTAGGTGCGACTCGGCGATGGTTGTCCACGTATGTAGGCAATTCGGTGATCAAGTCCTCGTTCATTACCGGCGGCATGAAATTGAGGAGTTTGCGCCCTTAGCTGACTTTGTGATATCATAATAGCAGCCAAAATATGACTGATTTCCCGTCGTACCCCTCGTGTGCTGAATCCATTGTCATGTCGAAAGAGGGAGGGTGCTCACCTGCAGTCTCCGTGGAACAGCGAAATGGGAAGAAAGGGATACCCTTATTCGCTATCGGCTCACAATCCGCATCCCCGAAAAAGAAGGCGTTAATCCTCATTAATATCATCTGACTCCTCAGACTCGAGATTCGATATTGCCATCATCAGCCACTGCCATCTCTCCTAGCTATCGCCGCAAAGTTATGGCCTTTCTAAGGCCCGCACGTACCTATTCCCTGTTTCCAGCATTGAATCGCTCATTGTTCTGCGCTTCTCTCTGACTCGACTCATCTAGCGTAGATGACGCGGGCATGATGAACAGACGGTGTATCATTGTTCGCTGGATATGACTCGTGAGTCTTGTGGTTATCTTGGCAAAGATAACAATTCATGATTGATGAGAACTAGACTTGGGTTGTGGAGTGCTGTGGCGTCATAGTGATTAAATGCCTTGAAATGGCTGGTCGAGTCAAATATTTTTCACGGTCATACGCTAATTATTCACACAACATATGGGCTTTTGACTCGACGTCCTCGACTGCAGAAAGATCTGTCTAGGCCTACAAGCCGGGGGTTGCCACGATCAACCGGGCAGACCCCATTGCATGTAGCAATATTTCCCCGGTATGCCCGTCGCCGGGCACGAGGCGGGCGAAGGCACGCACAAGATTTCCCTTTATATCCGCACGCATACATGATCTGCGGCCGTGATTAGCTTGCTTCGTTGGCACCAGTCGTCAGATCGATCAATCATGTGCGTCTTCGTCATTGTCCCCTTTTTTTGGCCTCCCTAGAGAGCTGGCAATGAGAGGAGCTCCATTGAAGAACAGGAAATGAATGCTCGATGCATGCAGTATTCGTATAACATCTTCTCAGACTTTTGCCTCATGGCAGCCTCGTGTTGATATCTACGTCGGCTACAGGCATAGTGCGCTGGTGAGTTGTGGATTAATATGTAATTAGATGGTACGCCATGAGCTTTTGTGGTCTGCGTGCTACCGATATGAGGGCGCGAGGGCCTCGCCGCGGTCATCTCTCCTTGTGCAATATCGCCGTTATATAGATTGTTTGATGCGACCTTGTCCGCATCCCCGAATGAATGATCATAAATTCCATCGTATGAAGAGTCTAGATAATCGTCCCGTATCAAAAAAAAAAAAAGGCCTGAATGTTCATCCTCAGCCTCACGGCGGGATGCGCGTCCATACAAAGACTAATTTAGGTTATGATTCAGAGACTTCAGATGCGACTCCGCTGCACGAGACATTTGATTCCGCGATCCGCGTCCTGTCCTGACATTCGCATTCCTCCGGAATATTCGTCCCGAATATTTTAATTGACAGAAGGACTTGAAGTTGTGATATATTCTCAGACTGGCATAACCGGTAATGGGATGAGCCGCACTTTTGCCGTTGGTGGTGAAGTGACCCTTCAAGTCCGAGGACGGGTTTGAAAGGACGAAGAGAGTGGATATGGTCCGAAGAGACATCGACGTATGCATTACATTTTCGAGTCGTGATCCGTGTCCCCGACTCAAGTGTCAAACCAGTGGGCGGTGTAACCCTAGGAACAGTACGTACGGCATCCTAAACCGATCAAGTAATATGACGCACTTGAGATTGCGGGGAAAGTCTGATGCTCCGAGCTTTTCTACAGGTGGATGGATTCAGGTCCTACATGTTCTCACTGTGGCATACTTTTGATCCCACCAAGTGTTGAGGTTTGAGTCTAATTATATCCGCGGTGAAGAGTGCACAAAGAAGCATCTGTACGAACACGTGGTCGGTGGTAAGGGGCGAAAAGCGGAATTGGTCTGCGTTGGGCGGGAGGGGTTCCCTCGCACATCCACCTACCAGTTGAAAATATTCCCAGAACGTTCAATACAGTGTATCGGAGTGCACGTGTTATGAGAGAGAGCAGGGCAAAGGGTACATATATTCCCATTCGTGAGCGCGGGGTTCATACCGTAAGGTACAGCAACATGGGGTAAATGGTCCATGCGGTGACGTCGAGTTTAAAGTCCTTGCTGTGCGCAGTGGGCGGGACGCACGGTATGTTCGGTTGGCGGGTAGATGGCGGAAATAAAACTCATGACTCCAGCGCCACCGCGTTCTATGCTAATCCTTTACGACCTGGTAGGACAACGCATGCATAGCCACAACGCAGGTCTCCGTAGAATCCACCTACACCTTCCTTTCCCTCGAAATATGAAGTCGAGTCAATCTTCATACTTGCCCAATCGAGCGGGGCGCGGGTCGTACTTGCCAAATATGGAATCTTTAACGTCGAGGAAGATGGTCCGAGAATAGCCCTACTACATGTGAAAATACCAAGGGTCGGCGTCATACTCGCGATATAGGCTGACATCCCGTGTCAGCTTTACGATGGCCTACAACCAAGATCCGTGCATATTAAACCTGCAATATTAGGGAGGGATGGGACAAGACGGAACCGTCGGCGGAGGGTGACACATGACAGAATTCTGCGTGGGTACGACCGAGTCAGGAGGGAAAAAAAAACGGGGTCAATAATCTGTGATTAGATAGCCTCTGGGGGAATATCGCCGGCCGAGGAAGCCAACAGATTCGGCGAAAAGACAATAAGAAATGTGTTTATGCGGTGTTTGGCTTGGAAATGGATGTGATCCTGTCTCATCCTGATGGTCGATTGCATAAGCGGAGAGATGCTTCCCTCTCATTGTTTCCTCCAAATTCGGAGTACCGCGAAATGAATATCCCAATACAGTCAAAGCGTACGGACGTAGGATTTAAGTTCATACGGAACTTTTCGATGTTCGATTTGATCATGCTATATAACGGGCGGTCCGTATTGTGTTCGCTTTGTGTGCCCCACTCGCCCAATTGTTTGCTCGATAGCGCGCTTTGTGAGACAAAGAAAACAGTTCAATAGCCGCGTGCCACGCCTAGCGAAACCTATTATTCTAGCATCAATCAGCCATCCCCCCTTCTTCCTTCCCATTATTTCCCCCCTTTCAGAACCGTTCACTCACCTGAGCAGCAATTGTTCGAGACAGAACAATCATGCCTGCGTTCCGCACACACGATACCCCTTCTCAATGTAAGCCCCCTCTATTCAACAATCAGCTCATTCTAACTCACCTCGTTTTCCCCCAACAGCACTTGAGGTGATTACAGACGCCATTCAACCGCCTACCCTGGCCATCATTTCTCCGACGCCGCGCGCCTTCACTTTCCCTATTGATCAAAACGAAACCTGTCCTTACTCCTCGCCTATTGATTCTCCATTTGAGCCAGATCTCCGGAAGCTCACGCTCACCCCCACACTCATTCGCACCCTTTCTCCTGTATCTCCTTCATCATCATCTTCACAAGGATCAACCTCGGTCTTCTCCTCGACATCATCATTCAATACCTTATCTTCTGGCCCTGCATCGCCATCATCGCACAAACGCCGCAAGTCGTCGATATGCAGCGACATCGAGCGTAGACCAAGAAAGGGCGATGAGGATTACATCAAGCGTCCCGAAAATGCTTTCATCCTATTTCGCAGGAAGTGTTGTGAGGAGAGACAACAAGCGCAGGAGGAGGCAGTATCCGCAGCATACGCTGATGCCCCAACCAAGAAGCAGCGACAGGCAGATCTGTCAAAAACGATCAGTCAGCAGTGGAAAGCGCTTTCTCCAGAGGAGCGTCTCTACTGGGAGGAGCAGGCCAAGGAAAAGAAGAAGGAGCACGAGCAGATGTACCCGAATTACGTATATCGCCCCCAGCGATCGAAGGACAAGAAGGGAAAGAAAAGTAAGCGAGGCGAGTTTGAGCACGAGACGGATTGTGAGAGCAGCATCTCGTTTGTGCTTCCATTGTCACCTCCGACGGTGATGAAGCATGGCCGCTCTGCGTCCGCTCCTACTCCCCCACCTGCTCGGCAGACAATCCAAGTTCCGACGGTGTACATGCCTTCATGTCCAACATCACCATCGTTGTTGCCAATGATCAGCCGCCGCGCGTCGCATCCAGACCATGGAATGAATTCGTCAGCGTCACAATTCGATTTCTTGCCTCAACAGCAATTTTCGCAACCTAACGCATATATGTCGGGTGTTGATGTGAGTACCCGATTAACAGTCCGAGTTCGAGTACAGGCTGACAATCGCTCCAAAGGCCAATGGATTCTACCATGGGATGTTCGAGAACCCCTCCGCGCCTCATCCTCTGTCGATTTCGACCGATATGTCGATGATGCACGCCAGTGAACAAATGGTTTCTCCAGCGTCGTCAATAACATCCGCTTCATCTGGCCCGCACAATGGCCCATATACGCCCTTAAACTGCATGCCTGCATTCGCATACCACGAGGCACCACATGATCTAATGTCCTGCATGAATGGAGGAGAAATAGATTCGCCCGTGTCTGGATCGCCTCTGGATAACGTGCATTTTGGATACCCCGAGTCGTATTCTTGGGAAGGACAGGGCGCATGGGAAAGTCACGGTGACCTTCTTGCCGGAGACGAGTTCGACCTGAGTGCTATTCCTCCAATTCAGCTCGGTGTGCCAGGATGCGGAGGAGAGCTAGCGTCCATGAGCCAGCACTCGTCAGCATTCAACATTGACTTCGCACCTGGCCACTTTGACGCATCCTCGATGGAGGTACACCAATATCCCCTCGAACCGCAAGGGCATGACACGTTTGAGCAGCTGTTCAACTTTGAGAACATGCTTGTACCTGCCGGATTCTGATCTCTCAACCGATGTATGCTGGCGTCATCGGTCTTGGACTTCCTTTTCATAGGACACCTGTAACATTACCCTTTATCACATCCACATCCACGTCCACACGCGCTCACCTCTTCTTCCGTGATAGATCTTGGTTTTTGTGGATACAATGTTGTTGAATTAGCTGTAATTATACATACGTTTTATGTGCATACTCACATCGTTTCACGCACAATACCCTCCGTGCGCTACCACCCCACCCCTCACTTATGCCCACTCTTGACGATTACGTACCCCCACCCCCATTCATACCGCCCCGCACGTCACGAAGATACCCTGTTGTTGTAACTTTTAAACATTTTTGCGGTTGTACCTACCGAGTTGCGCAGCAGATTCTATACAATCTTTGTCGACCCCATCAACGTGTGCTGTGCAAGGTTTTTGAATGTGATGGTCCGGAAGTGCGTTGTTATGGTAGGAAGAAAGAGTCAATGTGTGATTCTCACTCTGGAGCTTGTGCAGAGAAGTAAAGGCAATACATGATGCATACATGAGGTGTCCACAAGGTGTCCACGGAGACGGTTTCCTCAGAAACGTTCTGACCTTAACCCTAACATACACGTACAATTTACAAAAGGTTGGTAAAATACCAAACGCTGATTAGATCTACATGGCAGGCTCCATCAACTGTCTATAGATCTATAGGTCAAAGAGCTTCACATATATATGACGCTGCTCGCGCGCTACGCCATAATGAGCCGTCTGATCGAATATTCGTACCTAACATTGAAATAACTTCCCACGGATCCGAAGACCGCCTGTGACCCAGCACAGCAAAAGAGCACCAGCAAGCCTGTCACCACCACCCATGTCGCTCCCTCGCTCAGACTATGACCCTCGCAGGGTATGCCTAAACCCATTCCCAGATATCAACTTGAACTTTGGAAAGCATCGCCGGACCATCGGCATATACCTCGCAGGCGCTTTGGTCCGTGCGCTTTAAGTTCTTTAACCGACCGCCCTGGATGCTAACTCAGTGCATGCCCTTCCGCAGTTCGCACTTGCAAACTGGACCTTCCTCGATGCTGCCATATTGTCTGCGCATGCTCACCCGCCTTATGAGGATCCACAAATCCCGCCTCCCGTACATGTGCAGTTTGTTGATTGGGTGCCTGGCATCTGCTCGCTCCTTGGGATGCTCATCATCAACTTGATCGACAAGGATAGGATTAGGGGGGATGATTATGGGGATTCTACGGCTGTGTGGAGGGCGCGCCTTTTCCTCTTCATCGGATTTGCATTCATGGCTGGTGGACTGGCGGGGAGCGTGGTAAGCCTCTATGTTTTGTTTTTGTTGATGCTGCCGAATATTCAACCTTTCTTGTAGTCTCTTCTCGTGCTGAAATACGTCATGATGGACTATCCCGAACAGTACACCTACTACGGCTATGCGAATGTGTCGCAGAACGTGGCCTTGATGTTGTCGGCGGTTGTGCTTTGGATTGCACAAAATGCACAGACTGAATATGATTATAGCCTTACGCTTTAGTAACAGATGCGGTCTCTGTGATATTCAGCGTAGCTGTCAATATGTATCTTTCTTTTGTGAATTTCTCGCGGGGGCGGCAACTCGGGGATCAACATCTCGACGGACGGTCCAAATATCCAATTGTGTATCGAGGCACCTTCGAAGGTAAGCGGTTCCAGAACAATTTGTTTGAGCTGGATTTTATCTACCGCTCAGCTGATGTGCAAGCATTAAGCTGAACCAAACTCGAATGTTCGATTGAAAGTACTAACCAAACGGACGACTGACGGGAAGGTTCAAGTGACGGAGTATTCACAGTTAGCACCCCGCCTCATTGGCAGAAGGTTGGCACTAATGTTTAAGCTGGTGTAAGCACAGGTGGAGTGCAAGTCAAAGCAGCCATCCGTGATTGACGAAACTACCAATTTCGACAGATGCGCACGTTTCTACGTACTCAAGCAGAGGACGAGGCTTCAAAAGAGGCGAGTACACAAGTACTTTAATAATCATTTTAATCAACAAAAACGAGATAGCTAGTGTGCTCCATCGTCCTTTATTGCCGTCGTCCACTTCACCGTTTGCCTCGCAGATTTCACAAGCTCCCTTGGCGACATCTGGGCCACTCTATCGTCTGCCGTCTGCTCTAGACCCAAACACCCCCGCAGGTATACTCACAGCAGACTCCATCCGGTGCGAGTATGATTCGTGGATGTATCCGTGATGGGGGCATGTCTGGGACTGCGAAGGATGTAGAGGAAAACTGTAGTAGGATTCGAGGTGAGGGAATTGCGGGGAGATGTGGTATTCGAAGGTGGATGGTATTATTATGGGAAACAGCGCTGGGAACGACAAGTAATTACAGCGACTTTCAAGGCTGAAACATCACCTGCAGGACTTCCACGTACTTCTGCTTTGACATGAGTAATCGGTCAACCAGAAATCGGTACTGTGAGAGTCAAATGAAAACACTCACGTACCTGATCCAGAGGTACTTTTCAAAGCTCCTGCTCAGATAGATATGGGCTGTGTCATAGTAGACGCTGAGTCGAGGTTGCATTGAGGCAGAGAGTCCCAATATTTTGTTCTAGAACGCAGACTATGCATCTGTGCTGCAGCCTCGGTGTGAATAAAAGTACAGTTGTCAAATGCTGAAAAGTTGCTACTCACATAAACGTCAATCGGCCTCAAAACGATGGTGAGAAGGTGTCTGTAACACAGTTTGGTCGGTATGGAAGCCCACAATACAACAGCGTTATAATACGGACGTCCAAACTGACGAAAATGATACATGTGCTGCGCTTTCCGATGTTATGGGTGGCGTAAGATGTATGGTTAGGCTGTGAGCCACTGACGCCGCTCCTACTCAAAGCTCGAACATGCCATCGAATGAATGTAGGCCATACACACTGGGAAACTCGTCCATAGTCGGTGAATGGGAGACTCGAACAAGACAATGACGACATGATACACTTGACATTCAGCTGTCAAGGATCAGAAGCAAGAACCTCTTCCATTGATTCGAGCAATCCATTCAGATAAGATCGAGTCATGATACGTACGGTTATGCTCGTTGGGGAAATCACAGTGGCGACAAGGATGGCGGCCTTGAAATCCGGTGTATAATGGTAGCAATGCGAAGGCTAGATAGGCTGTTTCAAATCACGAATCAGCACGCCACATCGAACGGGTGAAATTTTGTAACAAGAATTTGTTCCTCGTTCAGACACTGCAGCGGATCGCCAAAAAAATGAATAACAGTGATGATTCAGATAGAATACAAGGAATGATCATTTGACTCACTGAAGTCGCAAATTCTGCTCATTAGAGAAATCAGTGGCGCTGTGGACCAGGATGACGTCTTCTCGGAAATCTGATGGTATCATTGTATTGATACGGATACTATCTGCGAATTTGACTCCTCTGTCACGCTGGCAAAAAAGAAAGGGTCGGTTGTTGCGATTATGCTCGTTGGAGAAATCATGGCGGCCACGAAGCTTGGTGCATGAACCCTCGGTAGTAATCAAGATAGCGCTCTGGACCAGGATGGCAGCTTCGAAATCTGATGGCATCATGTTATTGATACGAATATGATCTGCGAACTTGACTCCTCTGTCACACTGGAAAAAAAAGAACGAGTGGGAAGTTGGACAAATCATGGCGGCAGTGAACAACGAAGCTTGGTGCATGAACCCGCGGTAGTAATTCCAAATCAGAGTGAATTTTTTCTTGCGTCTGGAAGGGAAAAAAAACGGAAGTCATGATGATGGGCGTATGTGGGCGCCAGAGTGATCGAAAGAAGTCGATATGTGATGGCAGTGCCAGGTCATGATGCTGAAGTTGAATTCAACCATGACTGTGGCTCAGAGCACTTCTCCATCAACATTCGAATTTCTACTGAGTTATCGACTGTCGTCTTGATTTCATGTCAGAACAATAGCGTCGTTCTGGTTTAAAAGCGAAACTCGAACAGCATTTTCTTGCTCACAACGACCTCATTTTCCATCATCTACTAACTCGTTAAGTTCATTGACATCATGGTCAACGGTAGTGCTGCTGGCTCCACTGCGCCAAAGACGCCTCCTCACGGCGTTAATTCTGCCTCCGAGATCAAGTCCACCCCACTTGCAGTCGGCTCTGCCGCTGTCAGCGAACACATCAGTACTCTAGGCCTCAGGTACGTTAATTATTCTTTTTGCTCGTTCACTTATATATCGAACTTTGCCATGCACCCAGGGTCAGGGATATCCGCCCATGGATCACTCGGGACGTCGAGAATTACACAAAATGCGAAGCCGACGATATGCTGCAGGGACTCCTCTGTGGCTTCGACGAGCGGCGTCCTCGCAGTGAGAAATCGAAATTGCTTCAAGATTCTCTTGAAGCCGTCCTGGACATCTGCAACAACACTCCGGAAATCACGGATAACTTGACTGAATTGTAGGTAGAGAGTTTCACGCTGTATGAAAGAAGCTGACCGCCTTCTCGTAGTGCCAATTGCGCCACAGAGCCTAGTTCGTACCCGTCCTTCGTGCGTGCGGCCAATGCTGCACTCCTCAAACTGAGGAACTTGGAAGTCTCCGGACTACCGGCTTCCCCGCACAACGACGATACCGACATCTTGTTCCATTATAACGACAAGGATATAAAGCAAAGGCACCAAGGCGCAGAGTCTACGCGCAAGCCAGACGTCGTTCTCGTCTCTCGGAAAGCAGTGAAGGGTGCGGCGAAGGGTAGAGAGACTAAGAGTAAGGCTAAAGGTAAGGGCAAGGGTAAGAGTAAGGGCCAGGCTAGTACGGGTAACGACGACGACGAAGACCAAGATACCGAAGAGTTTTACACGAACAAAGCGGCCAAGAAGCCTCACGGCAACTTCAAATGGGTCGATGTTCGATCGACCGTGGAGTTCAAACGCAACTCCACTATAAATCCTCCAGTATTGCCTTACAAAGTGTCAGAATACGCTCCCCCTAATCCAAGGCTCAAATATCTGAACCTTTGGAATGCAACCGAAAACCTTGAGCCAAGAGCTGCGGCTCCTGCTCCTGCCGCGGCTCCTACTCGAAGCTCGAACATGCCATCGAATGAACGTGAGTCATACAGAGCGTCTACCTGCACTTCATTGCTGACCTTCGCAATTCAGCGCAGGGTACGCGTACGTCCGAGCGGCTGAAAGTAAAATCAGACAGCAAACGTAAATCTGATCAGTTGGACGCCAACGAGCCTACTTCCAAGCGTCAGAAGAAACCCGATGAGATCCTCGCGGACCAGAAGGAAACCAAGGAGGAACCTGAAAAGATTCATCCAAACGTCCAGAATGGTCTCTATGTCGCGGAGATATTGGCCGCCAACATCGCGCTGCAGTGCGTGATATCATATGTGGTGAACAGTAAGTCGACTGAATATCTTAGACCTCTCATTAAATTGATCGCCCGTACTAGATGATATCATTTACATATGGTACTTTGATCGAGAAAATGCCATCCAATGCGCCGGCATCAACTTCATAAAGGATCTTCCCCGGTTCCTTGTGCTATTGCTTGCCATGCAGCGCATGAGGGACGAGCAATGGGGTCATAATCCGAATTTCACTCACGTTCCCGGCGTCTCGTGCGAGGTCGTCGTCGGAGATGTCGACCTGACATTGGACTTAAAGTCTGACACACGCATAACCCACTTCGGTCTGCGCGGCCGCGCAACGAACGTTTTCCCTGTGCGAAGCAAGTATCTTTCGGACATACAGAAGAGGGAGGTTTGTGGCAATGATTCGAAGGAACTGATCGCCAAGTTGTATTGGCCAGAAGAGCGACGTCAGAGCGAGGACGAGATACTCCAGAACGTGTATGACATCGCGAGCAAGGAGTCGACAGTGAAGGGCCACATCCCGGACATGGTGTGGTTCCACAAATTTGACGAGACGTCCACGACAAAAATCAGGAGGTCTCTAGGAATTCAAGACGCTGACGCTAAAAGAGGCAGTCGCGTTTTGTATATCATCGTGTTCAGGAAGCTCATCCCCATCACGTCGCTGAGCGGAGACGATTTTCTTAGCGCATGGTGGCAAGTTGTGCTATGTACGTCTGAATTTTCTTGTACTCTTCGTTGTTCCTAACTGCGCCTACAGGTCATTACACTCTCTGGAAGCACGACGTCCATCACCGCGACGTCAGCCCCAACAATCTCATGGTCTACATGTTGAACGGCCGATGGATCGGGGTCCTCAACGATTACGACCTCTCATCGATGAAACGCGATGGACCCAGCGGGAAGGAGCGGACAGGAACAGTACCATTTATGGCAATTGACCTGCTCTCCGAGCTTGGCCTCCAAGGCCAAGTCACGCACTTGTACCGGCACGACGCTGAATCGTTAGTGTGGGTCCTCGTCTGGGTCTGTCTTAGGTACCAAGGAGGCAAGTTGCTGAGGAATGGAATGCTCGATGACTGGCTCAAAGTGGATGCTCTTGGATGCTGGAAGGAAAAATCAGCCTTTTTTATCCACCTTCGGCACGGGAAGGCCGAGAAGAGCAACATAAAGCCCTCGCTGTCACATCAATCTAACTGGAAAATAGCGGTGGCTTGCCTGGGCACTATCTATTATGCTCCCATGGCCGAAACGGACGAATCCAACGGGTCTATTCTTCAGAAATGGCTACTAGATAACGTGGAGTCTGTCGCTCCAGACATTATAGCTCGCTATCCCATCAAAGTATCATAAGCTTCATATTACAGTCTTGTATCACGTGCATACGTCCTTTGTATTAGAGATTATACATATCTACCTGAAACTATTTGCACACTAAGTACGTTTGTAGCTTCAATTATGTCAGACATGGTTGACGCTATGTGCTGACTTATATTCAAATTTCTACATCCTTTCCGTGTCATATTTGATTTGGTATTTGTCGTCGAGAATCCTCCCGGCTTTCTGGTATTTTGTCTAAGGAACTGATCACCGAGCTCTATTGGCCAGAAGAGCGACGTCAGAGCGAGTTGGACGAGATGCTCCAGAACGCGTATAGCATTGCGAGCGAGGAGTCAACGGTGAAGGGCCACATCCCGGACATAGTGTGGTTCCACAAATTTGACGAGACGTCCACGACAAAAACCACGCGGTCTCTAAGAATTCAAGACGCTGACACTGAAAGGTGCAGTCGCGTTTTGTATATTATCGTGTTCAGGAAGCTTATCCCAATCACGTCGCTGAGCGGAGACGATTTTCTCAGCGCATGGTGGCAAGCTGTCCTATGTACGTCTGATTTTTTCTTGTACTCTTCATTGTCCCTGACTGAGCCGACAGGTCATTACACACTTTGGAAGCACGATGTCCATCACCACGACGTGAATCCTAACAATCTCATGGTCTTCTGGTTGAACGGCCAATGGATCGGGGTCCTCAACGATTACGACCTCTCATCGATCAAACACGATGGGCCCAGCGGGAAGGAGCGGATAGGAATAATTCCATTCATGGCACTCGACCTACTAGACGAAGATGGCCTCGAAGGCAAGGTCACACACTTGTACCGGCACGATGCTGAATCGTTAGTGTGGGTCCTCGTCTGGGTCTATCTTAGGTACCAAGGAGGCAAATTGTCGAGGAATGGTAGACTGCTTGATGAATGGCTCAAAGTGGGTGCTCTTAGATGTGGGGAGAAAAAAACAGCCTTCCAGGTGGCGACGGTGAGAAGGTTGTGAGAAGGTGTCTGTGACACACCTTGGTCGGTCTGGAAGCCCACAATACAACAACGTCATAACACGGACGTCCAAACTGACGGAAATGATATATGCCATAGATAGTGTTCAAATATGCTGCGCTTTCCAATGTGATGTGGCGTAAGATGTATGGTTAGCCTACGTGCCAGCGATGGAAGGATGGACGATACTAGAGATGAGACGACAAATATCGAAAACACTCTCACTAAGTCACGATTCTGCTCATTAGAAATTACTGTAGTGCTGTGGACCAGGATGATTCTTGGAAATCTGATGCGGCATCCATGTTATGTGATACAAATATGATCTGCGAACTTGACTCTTCTGTCACGCTGGAAAAAAAGAACGAATGGGAAGTTGGATAAATCATAACGGCGGTGAACGACAAAGTGCACGAACCCGTGGTAGTAATCCCAAATCACAATTACAGTCCTTCCGGAAAGTCTTGACTCACGTGTTCGAAATGGTTCAAAAATAGTAGAAATGTTGAAAATTCAAATAAATCGAAAATTCAGCAAACTTGCACCACTCTCCTTCAAAGTCGAGCAGAAAAGCATAAGTGTCACTCTTTTGAACGTTAGATTATGTCTAATACAGTAACTGAATGCTCCCACGAGGAGGATGCCTCTCATTCACAACACTCTGATGATGAATCTGTTGATGGTATCCATATGGAATCTGGCAACATTTTAGACGAAGAACATGGTAATCTTGGTGGTATGGAAGACTCCTCGGGCGAGTATGGTGATGAAACCTATGGGGACGATGACTCAGAGTTAGAGCTTGCTCCTGAGCTACAAGCGATCAAAGGTTACCGTGACTACCTCCTTGTTTCTCGACGGGAATAAACTGACACCTAGGCAGATGCAATTTATGCCAAGCAGCCTGCACTGAAGATTCGGATCCCTGGTAGTAAGCTATCGAAGTGGAAATATGATTCCGACTGTGCCGCAGATACCTTCGCACATCTACCATTTGTTAAACTCTGATAATCTTACACAAACTTCGTAGATATTCATACCCGTATATTGTTACCCCGTAAATGCAGCTATTAGCTACTCCCCTCCGCGTAATATTGTCCGCGCTACAGATAGCCACTATGCATATACCAGCCTCGAGCATTTTCGGCATTTACGGCCCTGAAGCAAGCTTCACGAAGGTCCTGCTCAGGGAATTGGCTGTGTTGGAGATCTCTCCAATGCCGTCGAAGCCACTTCTTCACTGTAGCGGAAGTGTGAGCAACAGAATAAAATGAAATGTAGTCGAACGTACAGCAACTGAAGCTCTCCTCGATCAGATTGAAATCTGGAGAGTATGGCGGCAGAAATATAAGTAAACAATTTACGAAGGTGTAAGGTCCCTGAGGTTTTCGTGGAGAGCTGACGTTGATATAGGCTGATCGTGGTATATGGCGAGCCATTCACTGATCTCGTCAAGTAGCAGTGACGGGGTTTCAGCTAGCAGCTCGTGGATCTCGTCTGTCATAACTTGATCCAGCAAGCGAGGGCGACCCATGATTGGTGTAGGAGGGTTAACATGACCATGTTCATCATAATTTACCTTCCACCGCTCTATGCTTCTGGGCGATACTCCGAGAGCAACAGCAATGTGCTCAATGTCCCATCCTTCCTCCAAAAGTGTTACAAGAACATCTAGACGCTTGGGCCCCTACTATTTTTCTCCTAATCCTCCTCGTATCAGCCCTCGCATCATACCCTTACCCCGACCTTACCCTTGTCATCCTTGTCATCCTCGCATTCCCTTTCGCCCTCTACCTGTCGCTTCAGCAAAGCCAGTACATCTGGCCGGACCCTTTCGCTGACGAAGCATACCCATGCTCCGTTTCACCACCTGACTGATCCTGTGGATAGTCCCCTTGCCCTTACCATCTGGACGGTAACCTATGACATGATGCACGACGCATCCCCTTTGCCCTATTCCCTTTCTTGATCTCTGACTCGGTGCACAGTCGCACATGCGACTTATACTTAGATCCGCAGCTGCACAATCATGCCTCTGCGCGTTTCACTTCTTATTTTGATCTTTGACTCACTTTCTTATCAAGCACGTTCTACCTCGACCAAACGTGCCTTCCTGTTATAGTTATACCCTTTACCGATTGCCTCTCCCGGTAGTACGAGTTATCACCCACTAATACGTCTCCTGTCCTCTATATAAACTCGCTACCATGTACTATATTCCCTAACTTGAATCTACTTGGTTCTTGACCTCCTACTCTCACCAGAGTGATCCTTCTGCCTCGCCAGCAGTCTATATTCTATCTTCTTATCTGCTCTTCGCGGATAAGCCTATAGTCTCGACCTTTACTCATCAACTTCGTCGACGAGCAAAGCCCCTGTTAACTAGTCGGACTTCTGTCCTTCTAATTAACGACGATCCTTACGATTAACCTTCGGGTGTTGTAAGCCTAGGCCGATATAGCTTATCGTCTCGCACCCGCGTGACATAAGCTACCCGATTTGGACATAGGCATTAAATCGTACTTGCCGAAGACATGCCAAGTACGACCCCTAACCTTGGGCTAGCCCAAGGACGTCCACAGACCGTTGACGACACAAGCTCTGTTTGAGCGTCGCCAACAGATACCATCCAAGTTGTAACAAAAAGCAGGTACAGGGCTCGTTCTTTCCAATCGCGACTGATACTCTGGTAGACCATGACGAGTCTGAGTGACAAACGTGTGAGATATGATATCTTTGAAGCCATTCAGAGGCATACAAAACTCGAAAGTGATTTAATTGAATTTTCAACATTTTCACTATTTTTGAACCATTTCGAACACGTGAGTCAAGACTTTCCGGAAGGACTGTAATGTTTTTGCGCGTGGAACGAAAAAAAAAATGAAGTTATGATCATGATGGGCGTTTGTGGGCGCCAGGATGGTCGAAAGAAGTTGATGGCAGTGCCAGATCATGATGTTGAATTCAACCATGACCGTGGCCCAGAGTCATCAACATTCGAATTTCTACCGAGGTATCGATTGTCGCCTTGATTTCATGTCAGAACAATAGCGTCGTTCTGGTTTAAAAGCGAACCGCGAACTGCATTTGCTACCGGTAACTTCAAGTTGTTCAGTGCATTGGCATCATGGTCAATAGCCCTGCGTCCAAGACGCCTCCTCACAGCGTTCATTCCGTTTTTAGAATCCACTCTACCCCACTTGCAGTTGGCTCTGCCGCTGTCAGCGAACACACAACCGTGAAGTGCCGCATCCCAAACGTGATCTGGCTCCACAAGTTTGACGAGAGGTCCACGACCAAGATCAGGAGGTCGCTAAGAGTTCCGACGAGTCAAGACCTTGACGTCGAAAAGGGTAGTCGTGTTTTGTATATCACCGTGTTTAGGAAGCTTGTCCCAATCACGTCGCTGAGCGGAGATGATTTTCTCAGCGCATGGTGGCAAGTTGTCCTATGTACGTCTGATTTTTCTTGCACTCTTCAATGTCCCTAACTGAGCCGACAGGTCATTACACTCTCTGGAAGCACGATGTCCATCACCGCGACATCAGTCCTAACAATCTCTTGGTGTACTGGTTGAACGGCCAATGGATCGGGGTCCTCAACGACTACGACCTGTCATCGACCAAACGCGATGGGCCCAGCGGGAGGGAGCGCACAGGAACAGTACCATTTATGGCAGTTGACCTGCTCTCCCAACCCGGCCTCAAAGGCAAAGTCGCACACCTGTACCGGCACGACGCTGAATCGTTAGTGTGGGTCCTCGTCTGGGTCTGTCTTGGGTACCGAGGAGGCAAGTTGTTGAGCAATGGCAGACTGCTCGATGACTGGCTCAAAGTGGATGCTCTTGGATGCTGGAAGGAAAAATCGGCCTTTCTGTTCCACCTTCGGCACGGGAAGGCCGAGAACAGTAACATAAAACCCTCATTGTCACACCAATCTAACTGGAAAGTAGCGGTAGCTTGCCTGGGCACTATCCATTATACTCCCGTGGCCAAAATTGACGAATTGAGCAGGTCTATTCTTCAGAAATGGCTCCTAGATAACGTGGAGTCTGTCGTTCCAGACATTATAGCTCGCTATCCCTTCAATATATCATAAGCTTCTACCGTCTTGTATTACGAGGTGATTTATTTACGTGAATACGTCTTTTTACTTAACCTTTGCAATGAAGATCTATTGATCAATGACTTTGACTTTGGCGCGTCGATGACGCGACTGGATCACGTGATCAGTTTTTTTTTCACCGAACTTGATCGCGAGTCATGATTCATCTAATCGATCCCAAAACTTTTAAGTACAAGTGACCAAAAGCCGTGGCGTTCCTAATCACATTTATCCCTACCACCACCATCCTCCCCAGGATAAAGTACTCCTACGTGAGAACCTTTGCTACCATGGTTTCCTCGCTCCCATCTTTACCTTCTGTCCTAGGCACGGATCCATCGTCCTGCATTCTTGACGCATTCCGCACTGCTATCGCAAAACGTATATCCGACGCACTCCCACCCCTTACCATCGATCAGGCCTATACTGGCGTCGATTATGGAAAGAAAGGCGTCGATTTCACAGTTGCCCTTCCGCGATTCAGGCTCCCGGGCAAGCCTGACGAGCTGGCCAAGAAGGTTATAACAGATGTGAGTTGGTTCGGTCTCGTTTCGCTCCATAGTCTTCAACTTTCTTTGCTGCTAGTTCCAACCAGACGACTTCGTGTCGTCAATAACCCACGACAAGCAGTTCCTTCATTTTCAGCTCAACACCGCTTCCCTCATTCGCGAAGTCCTTCACCAAATACATACCCTCACCTACGACAGCCCAACAGGGAAGCCGTCATACGGTACAAACACCTCTGGCGCGGGCAAGAAACTCGTCATTGAGTACTCCTCGCCTAATATTGCCAAGTCATTCCATGTCGGACATCTTCGAAGCACGATCATCGGCGCATTTTTAGACAACCTGTATCAAGCGTGCGGATGGGAAGTAGTATCTCTCAATTATCTGGGTGACTGGGGCACTCAAGTAAGCCAGTCTTTTTGCCTTTTCTTAGAGTCACGCTGATTTCGTTAGTTCGGCATGATCGCCACCGGATTCGAAAAGTACGGTTCACAAGAGGAGCTTGAAAACGATGCGATCAAGCATCTCTACGACGTCTACGTTAAAGTATCTAAAGACGCTGATGCAGATCCCAATGTCAAAGCCGAAGCCGCCAAATGGTTTAAGCGGATGGAGGACGGCGACGAGTCGGCACTTGCGAACTGGCGAGTGTGGCGGGAGATGAGCGTCAAAAAATACGTAGAGGAGTATGAACGGTTAAACGTGTCGTTCAAGGTCTATACGGGGGAGAGCGAGGTTGGTAAGGAATGGCAGGATCGGGCTCTCGAGCGCCTCGAAGAGATGGGTCTAATCAGTGATGCCGAGGGTGCAAAACTTGTTGACCTCGAGAAATGGAAGCTCGGAAAGGCTGTCCTCCGCAAAGCTAGTACGTCTAAAAAAAAACAACCACCTCATACGCACTGCTGATCTCCATGCCTAGATGGTACTTCAATATACCTCACCCGTGATCTTGGCGGTGCGATAGAGCGATGGGAGAAATACCACTTCGACAAGATGATCTATGTCGTGGCATCGCAGCAAGACCTGCACTTGTCGCAGTTTTTCAAGATGCTATCGTTGATGGAGTTCCCCTGGGCAGACCGCCTTGAACATGTCAACTACGGCTTGGTGCTCGGCATGAGCACTCGAAAGGGAACCGCAGTCTTTTTGGATCAGATCATCCGCGAAGCCTCGTCTGTCATGCACGAACAGATGAAGCGGAACGAGGTGAAGTACAACAACATTGAAGACCCTGAGATGGTCGCTCGAGAAGTGGGTATCACAGGAATTAAGATTCAGGACATGGCTGCAAAGCGGTGAGTGTCATCAGTTCATCCCGATGCTGCAGCTTATCAAGTACCAGGATCAATAACTACACATTTAACTGGGACCGTATGCTTTCCTTTGAGGGCGATACCGGACCATACTTGCAATACGCACATGTTCGTCTAACCTCCATGGAGCGAAAAAATCCAGAGCTCATCCCCCTGCCGCCTCCATCCGAGATCGACACTTCCTCTCTTGCTTCCTCCCAACACGCACGCGACATTGCTATCCTTCTAGGATCCTACCCCGATGTCGTAAAGACTGCATTAAAGACGCACGAGCCCAGTGGTGTAGTGACTTTCGCTTTCCGCCTGTCGCACGCGATTTCAAGTGCCTGGGAGACGCTCATCGTTAAGGGGGAAGAAGATACAGCAAAAGCTCGTGCGAGGCTGTGGCTCTACCTTTGCGCGAGGGACGTGTTGGGTGCTGCGATGCGGCTTCTGAGTATCAGGCCTCTGGAGAGGATGTAGTGGGTGTTTTTGTGTCGCAGTTAAATTGATTGATACAGATCATGATTATACATCGAAGGTTGGGCATGCTCGCTTCTTGCTCGCTTCGACAGAAAGTCTTGTTTGTACTTATATATGTAACGCTCTGTGCAAGGCAAGTGAAAATAGCCCATTAATATTTTGATGATCAAAGATGTCTCAAGGCGTGATATAATTGAATTCGAAGTGATCTAGCAATTCCGACAGACAAACTGACCTTTAGTTTTGAATTTCCCTATAGCGGAGTTTGATTCAGAATTCGGCCCAACCATCATGTCATAAGGTTCCGTTTGCAGGAACACTTGAGGCTGCCGATCGTCAAAAACACAACAGGACAGCCGTTATTTGAATCAAGATACTGGGTATGTAGCATCCCGTAACTGTGCTATGGTAGGAACGTGACCGATTGATTGCCGGAAGTTGAAAGTCTGACTTTTTGCCCCCTTAACTTATGTTTTCTTTTGGGGGACTGGCCCAGTATTGCAAAGTTCAAATGGCTGGAACTTAGGCATTACCCAATTTCCAACGTGGACAGACGATAGACAGGTATGTACCTTGAACATTTGAGAACTCGGATCACTGATCTATCAAATCGCCATGTGCATGATTCCTGACTGAATACGTCAATTTTCACAACGCCTGTTGGACCAAAACGCGAGTATGGGAAGATGATCGAGTCCGTTCCATACTTCCTTCACTCATTGATAACTACCTTACTTGAATATGGTGCGTTAATTAATGACAATCGTGTCCGGGCATACGTTACGGTCGCTAGGATCACCAGCAATAACGACCGACTAGCAATCATGTTGGCGCTGCTGGAACGGGTGGTCGTTGCTGTGGTTACATTCACGGTGCGAAAGCTATCTGATCTTACTCTGGTACAAAAAGGTCGGTCTCGCTGATGTGGTTTTTAACCCCCACTGGGTTTCTTGCTCAAAGGGATGTCTCCCCCTCACAATCGTTTATCACACCGTTCCCGCCATTCGTTTAGCCCTGTTGAGCCTCAATACTCAATAGAGACTGTAATTCCCGTACACGAAGATGGTCTCGGTTCTTTGGATCGAATACGGAGTGCTAGCGTGGATGGGCGTGAGTGTCAAAATTTTATCAAAATTTCTTCTTGAGTATACGTTTTCCATTAGTCAACCAAGGTCTTAAGTCTCCTGAAGAGCCCGAGATCGAACCCGTAGACTGCACTCCGTCTAGCAGTTCATATTTCTCCGATGAGCAGGCTACTTCAACGATGTCATCTTTTTCAGCTGGTGATCTTTCGGTTGGACCGCCACAACATGCTAAGGAAGGCCACCTTACACAACGGAGTGTGATCACTTCCACAAGCGTCATTAAGGAGACAGTCTATATGACTGTTAGCCAGGCGCTTACCACTCTACTACTCTCTGCTTCTCAATATTCTACCCTTCTATCTCCTACCCCTACATCTTCTCACTTTACTACGTCATCTACCACCAGTACTTCTCAATGCAACGGGGTCTCTTGTTCCCCGTCCACGACCACCTATCAAACATCTGCTCAACAGTCCTTTTCTACAGGAAGCTCGTACATTATATACCCAACATCCTCAACTCTCAGTAACGCTACAGTCTCCTCAAATGCTGATACATCCGCAACAACAACAGCAACGACGACGATGACGTCGCTTCAGTCTGTCCTACCATCTAGCTCAGTGTCATTGAGCAGCACTGTTGTGATTTCGAGCACATTAGCTCACTCAACAGCAGTGCCTGACACCAATTCGAAACCTCAATCACCTTCACCTTCGTACACGGCTGCCATCGTAGGAGGGGTTGTCGGAGCGCTCGCGCTTCTAGCACTTCTGATCTTTATTGCGATATGGTATCGCGGGAGAAGACGACTCTCTGTGACACCCTTCATCTTCCCCTCGATTACAACAACGACGCAGACCGGGTCAAATGTCTGGCTCCAGTCTCAAGGCATACGTGATGCCGCTCGTGCCAGCAGCAGCATAGGCGACATCGTTCGTCCAAGTGGCATACGTGATGCCATTCATCCAAGTAGCAGAGGTCCATCGTCCATTTATTCCCAGCCATGCCTCGTGGAGTATCCCGGCAACAGATGCCCACCCGTTGCCACAGATTCCGTATCATTTCGTTCGCCCGAAAACGACAACGACTTTTCCTCCGTCATTATCCTGCGTCAACAGTCCAATGGGCTAGAAAATTTGGATCCATACCCGTCTCACGCTCGCACTTCTGATCATGATTGTCATTCCAGTGTAGCTAACTGGCTCAACCAAGTTGTTATGGAGAGTCCTTCGCCAGAACCAAGCGAAGTGTTACCAGCTTATCGTTCAACGAAATCTTTGAAGAACGGAAAAGCAGGTCATGATGACTATGATATCCCTCTCCTCCCGTAACCATTAGTCTCCCGAATGATGCACGACACGGTATACTTTGAATACTTGATGCACCACCCCCTCCGCGTCACGAACATTTGTACATACGTGTGGCATGTAATGGTTGTATTGTTGATGAGACCGCCGATGAAAGCGGAATATATGTCCGCTGCCTATCGTTGGATCACCGCCGAGCGCTCCTCACGCAAGATCGGCACCTCCATAGTTAGCATAGACTTAGCTATCAATGAATTCAGATCTGGATACACTTGGCACCATGATAGTGCCCCAAACGCAGGAAATATGACCTTGAATTAGCAACTATGATCTGCACTATCACGGTGTTGTCCGCGTTGAGTTGGCAACCATGCAAGCACATATATATAGCGTTGAACGTTGAACACGCGAACGTTCAAACCGTATCAGACATGGGACAACAACTTGAGAACATCGTGATATTGGTATAATTATGACTTTTGAAAGCTTTGATCGCCATCTGATCATCTGTCAACGTTGCAGTGTGTAGTCCCGTTATTCACGATTTTCCTGTAAAATACATCATAAAGGCTGTTGTTCTATTACCACGCCCAAATGACTAACTAGTAAGCATCAAAATTCTGTCGGTTGTAGATGTGCTGAAATGCTTGACTTAATGATGCGTTAAAGCACCGGTGCTCAGTGCTTCAGCGCTTCGGCGAATGTCGAACTCGCCCATGGAGTTTACTATTAATTATCATATCTCATGGCCGATCCCGATCACTTTGGCACTGCTGAAACGTTTGGTCGTCACCCAGGTGAACTCGCTTAATATCATTCGTGTGGTACAAAAAAGGTTGATCTCGCTGAGCCTCATGATTCCCTAAACCCCCCACTGGGTCTCTCGGCTGAAATGGCTCTCCCTCACGCTCGCTTTAATGTTTTATTTCACAACCGTCCAATATATCATTCACGTTCGTTAAATCGCGATGATACTTGGCACCCTTCGTTGGAGACTATACTTGAGGGTGGTCCTGACTCGGCGTTGGACCGAGAAGAAAATATCAATGTGGATGGGCGTAGGTATCAATTTCTCCTCTTTGTTTCCTTCCCTTTCTAATAGTCAATCAAGGTGGTCTCCAGCTGTTAGACGAGTCCGAGGTAGACCGTGTAGACTGCACTGTGTCCGGCAATGATCATTTCTCAAATGAGCAGGCTAGTCCAATGACAACCGCATCATTTGTTGAACGCAGAACATCGGAACCCAGTGAAGCTGGGAACTTTGTGATTGGAGAACCGCGACTTTTAGCGGAAGCTCACATTTCACAACGTCAAGCAGACAACCCATACTATTCCCTGGCTTGCGTTATCTGGGATCCTTTTTGTGTTTATACTAGCATTGCCGGATATCCTAGCACCGACTATTTGTCACCCCTCACTGTTTTACCCACATATTCCGAGTCGAGCCCCATTACAACTACTGCTTCTACACCATCTCGGGATAGTTACAGCCCATTCCAGTCGACAAGTTCACCCACCGAACGTCCAACATCATCACCATCATCAGCGAGTGGCGACCCTCCTAGTATTAGTAGTGGTAATGCGGTTGTCGATACTGCTTACACCACAGTCGCCTCGACCTCCCAAATAATCTCAATAACGACCACATTGCTTGAGCCGCCTTCATCTATAGTTACATCATCCACAGTTACATCATTCACGGTTACATCGACCAGCATTGTTATGGTCTCGAGCCTGTTGCCTCAACCATCATCAGTGTCTGACACAGCTTCAAAACCTATATTACCTCAGACCATAGGCGCCATCACAGGAGGAATTGTGGGAGCGGTGGTACTTCTAGCCCTCCTAACGTTTATCGTGCTGCGCCATCGCAGGAAAAACCAATTTTCTGTAACACCTTTCAACCTCCCTTCAACCGCAGGGCCAACCCAGGTCGAGGGGCGCAAGTTCCAGAGTGCCAGCGGTGCTGTCCGTCCAAGCAGCAGAAGTTCATCGTTCATTCAATATTCCGATGGTTGCCTCGTAGAGTATTCTGGGAATGGATCACCATCATATGCTACAGATCAGATATCATCTCACTTCGTCGATGATGAGATCTCTGGGTCCAGTGTTGCCAGGCGCTATTGGTCCCATAGGCTAGAGAAGCTGTACCCATATCTGTCTCATGTCCCCGCTTCAGATCATCATAGTGTAGAAAGCTGCGCCGATCACATGGTTACGGATGGTCGTTCGCAAGAACAGAGTGAAGAGCTGCCGGCTTATCCTCGTTCTTTGGATTCTTTAAGGAGCGAAACAGACCATGATGATCGTTACGTCCTTACCAGCTCTTGAACTTCCCTCCGATAGACCATAAGTACCTACTCCCAAACCATTGTCTGTCTTACCGTATCATTGCCTTTTCCTTTGGACTACGTCGTTCGGACAACGAGACTGTTGTATACAGGGTTGCAGTTACTTGATTTAACTAGGGATGTCTGTGAGCCGAGTCATCGACACCTGAAGACCTAAACCTTGGGCTAGTGCATCTACAAAATGGCTGGAAGTGTGATGCCATTGAAGGAGATCTCCCATTTCCCCGCTGCCTTGAAGCAGTGTGATTTCGACTGGAGTCCTCCAACAGGCTATGATCAATAAGTATGGAGATCGTGGGCCTTTTTTTGAGTGCGAGAAGTACTAGTGCAAACTCGATGGTGGATATATCTGGAATTGCGTCACCTCCAGACGGCAGACGGAGTGTTTATACGTGAGACGTCCACGCCCGCCCGTCTATGACAGAGTGGACGGTACTAATAGTCCGCGAAAAACAAGCAAAGAAAGCTAGTAATCGCTTCAACCAACTTCAGCAGGTGACGGGCTGGACGGGCGTTTGAAAATTCACAGCCCGGGGTGGTACATTGCACAATGGTGATAAGCGCCAAGTTCGTGGTCATCATGATCATGTTTGCGATCAGGGACATAGTAGTCGTCGATGAGCAACGTTCTCTGGCTTTTACACAACGTGTGAATCAGCCTAGGAATCATATAAATCAAGCCAGTGTGAGTTTGGTGTGAGTTGTTACTTTCAAAGTACTATTCGCTACCTTCAAGCATAGCTACCATATCAGGAAAATTCCGTCCACAAGATATGCCGCCTGCACCTACCGAATCGGGAATTTGAACATCATGCTATGATTCTCCGAGGGCAAAATGGATACTATCACTCCTGGGGTTCTGCAACATTTTCAATAAATCTTCTGTAACTCCTCAACTGCATCATATTATCTTCTACTGATTTGCCCCATTATATATTCGTAGCTACTCTATGAATATGATTTTTTCTGATTTTAAGGATTTTTTGGTGGGGTGTTGGATAATGGCCGAGAAAATTCAGGGTCTGACTGGTATTCTGCAATACATGGTCATGTCGTGTCACACATTGGCACAGCAGTGGCACCATCAACTTTCACTCTCTGAAGACTCTGAAGCTCGTCGTTACGCATCGCTTTGAAAATGAATATTATTGAGGATCATCGTCTATATACTAATAAATGTGATTCTAATGGTACTGTTGATAGAGTCCTGACTCATACAGCTGACAGCCTGCATCACCAGAGCCCCCAATGTCATACATCTGCACTCCACCAACTCGAAAATCCTGAGACATAGTACTAGCGAGAGGTTTACCAACCAGTGCAAAGGGAGGGTGAAGAACAGCATCACTGTCCCATGAAAAAATGGACCATGCTCTGCATACATCAGTAACTTATGCAAAGTATGGGTCATAGGTGCCGATAGGCTGAGAGACATCATTGTGGATGTCAACACCTGTTTTGCTGGCACCCTGGATGCTCATCGCTGCCACAGGGTCACGATGGTCACAAGTGGGATAAATGTTGACTCATGCTTTATACACCGAGCCTAAATTACAACACCTACAAGTGAATCAGTCCTCTGGGTGCCAATCTCGGAATCAACCAAGTACAATTCAATTTTTATTCAATAACATGACTCACTGGCGGGAATGAGGGCCTTGAGGCACAAGCTTCGTGTGGAGCTTTCCATTTGAGAAATTTAGGGTGTATGCATGTATTGAATTAGCTTCGGCGGGAAAGAGTTGTGGATATGGTATGTCACGTACACATATAAGCTTCCGACTAGTACTATGTATGTCTTCGAGGAGTCCATGAGTGCCCTGTAACTGACTGGTCAGATCGTCAAAAGAACAAGGCACATACATTACCTCACTTAAGACTCATGCTTTGAGTCTGTAGTGCACTATGCGCCAATATTAATGTAAAGAATTTCAAGATTAATATCCGCTCCCAGACCTCTGGTCGAGGATCTGTTATTAGTGCAGCTGGGTGCACTCAATCTATTGGGTGAAAATCATCCATGGGCATAATTGAATATAAAACCGACTACAGCGTGATCGTGATGAGTAGTGAAGGAGAAAAAAAAAGCGCTACAATGTTTGCTATTCCAACACCAAGTTCAAAATTATAAATTAATATACGGTGGCCAAACAAACAAGGTTTGATCATGCATCAGTGGTCCGAACATTGTTCTTTTCAGCCAAAGACAAGATCGTTTGTGCAGCCTCCTGTTCCCTCCACTTCCAATCCTCCAGTTCTTTGGACAGTGCTCTCAACAGCAACATGAATTGGTCAACGCGAGCCTGAGCTGCGACTCGGCCGTTGTGCATAGTGCGATGTGATGATTTAGCAATCATTAACGCTGACTGATGTTCAGTCATGCGATGCTGCATATACAGTGAGAATTAGGTAATGGGAAAAGTAATCAATTGACCTACCATATGTTGCCAAAATTCTAGACCAAGTCCCATTCCATCATATGCAATTGTCAGTGGACTATTGGTGTTCCTCAAGGGTGTTGTTGAGAAGGGAACTTGGAATAAATGGGAGGTATTAACAAATGAGGGCACCAAAGGTGATTCAGATCGCATGAGGCCCACAGGGATAGTCATGGACATGGTTGAACATTGAAGTTCAGTTAGACAATGCGAAATTGGCCTGTTCGTACATGGTTTTATAGCGAATAATTTTTGGCTAACCATAATATTACTGTGTACAGGATGTTAACATTACAAAGGTTCCGTGTACAAGACGTTAACATTACAAAGGTTCCGTATACAGGACATTAACATAGCGAAGGTTCCATGTTGAAATCATTAGCGCCGTGGAGCTGCTGCATCACCAAAACTTCAAAATTCAGGTATCCCCTGATTGGGCTGATGCTGACAAATATTTATGATCATGGATGATGGCGATTGCGAAGGTCAAAGAAGGACTTGATCATTATGATGTCAAGTAGCTAGTAGCATACCATTGTTGCATGTATCTGATATTCAATGATATACTCCTGTCATTATGATAGTACTCTGATATGGATATGCTACTCTTTCTCTCAGCCTGGATACACCCCTAGTATCTTAGTAGTAGTTCTAATGCAAAATTACTAAGCTCCATGGTATTCCTTTGTTGTTCAATAAATTTGTAAACATTGGTAAACACCCTTGAAGTGTTTGATCAACGACCGTTGAAGCATTTGAAGCTCCGACATCAACAAGTCTAAACAACGGACTTCGCAAAATTCTGCCTCCTTCATCATCTCTCATCTACATCTCTCTCCCATCATTCATCATATGAATTACTGCGCATGGCACCATGTAGCCTAATATCCGACTCTCAAAACAACAAAGTAAGTCATTAGCAGTAATGTAGGATTCTATTAATGGTGCATATATCCACTTATAGGATCCAATATAGAATTCAGGATCGAGGGGTGCAGTGCATGGGACTTCGAAGTAATCTGGTGTCTGGTGCATGTACAATTTCTTTTCTGGTTATCTTCCTGACAACATTTTCTTGTATAGGTTTGCCTACCTGCACATTTACTACTGCAATATGTCACATATCTGCAGTATTTCTACCAGTCATGTTACTTACCTCTGCCATTCTCTCGAGCTCGCACCTTACTCTCAATTTTGTAATCTATCATGTATTTACTGCAAAACAATAAAACATTTTTTGATATGATACTAGTCTGATAAGCAATTAGAATGATTCAGCAGGCATTAGAAGTGTCAGCATATGACGAACCACCCAGCATATGACAGACAAATGAGCTTAAATTGAGTTCCTTGATCTAGCAATCCCAGGAAGCCTTGTGCTGGCGGCGCTTGGTGGGCCTGATGTAGCTGTTGATGGGTGTTGTGCAATGCTATCACCTTAGCTTCCCATATCTGGTTTTTGAACTTTTGGTGATGTGTGGAGCTGCTGTACTACCTGGAGCGACAACTCCATCTAGGCAATCCAAGTCTAGAAAGTCGAAAGAAAGTGCACAATAGACTAGCAACTTGTTAGCATGTCTCATAATAACACACATTCTCATACAAATAGTACTCAGTCACATTTTCAGTCAACAACATGATGGCCCATGTCGAACCTGATTGAGTTTCAAAGCATGATACTCACCTGACAAATGTCAATATCAAGGACATCTCGGTTCGCACTGGCAAGCGGAAGCTTGATGATGTCAATATCAACTCTGACAATGACTTCAACAGGGAGAATACCTCTCCATATCATGCGCCCAGGCAGCTGTCTCCACATGGTGCTTGCACCATTAAGCACATCTGTCGCGAGAAAATGGGTACCGAATGGCAATCAGTCCTTGATATTATCGAGCATGGAGAGGAGATATTTATCGTGACAAGGCCGCGGTTGCCAACCCTAAAAGCACCTGGCATCGCAGTTGTACAGGCTGATCTGAGGCTGGAAGAAGTACGTGAAATTTTGAATATTGATTACTGGATTAGTAGAACTCACCAGATTTCAAGAACCAAAGGCCTAATTTGAACGCGCGCTGTCAGGTGACTCACACTCCGGCTGTGAGGCTGGAAGAAGTACGTGAAAATTTGAATATTAATTACTGGATTAGTAGAACTCACCAGATTTTCAAGAACCAAAGGCCTAATTTGAACGCGCGCTGTCAGGTGACTCGCACTCCGGATGTGAGCCCGGTGGGTATGTAAGTCTCATATTGCCAATGAACTGAAGAAATCAAACACACCCTGATTTCAAGAACCCATGAGGCCTGGTTCGAAACACGCATTACTAGGTGACTCAGGAACCGGCTGCGAGTCTGGTGGGGTAAGTCTCTCACATTGCCAATGACAAATGAAACTCACATTCAGAGACAGGACTTTGCCAAGAAGCGGTGTGGCCGAAGGTGTTGATCTAGTGGTAGAAAATCTTGAATTAGTACGGAAAAGAAATTGTCAGCGTGTTTCGGGAATAATTGCCTTCTTGAATTTTTTGACAAAGTAACAACATGCATTGAAATATTGATGAGACTGGCAGGACCTCCAGTAAGTATTGCGAAAAGGGGAAAATCAATTATCTGCGACATTTTACAACAGCTATGGGAAGCATACATTTGAGTAGACATGAAACATACGTAGGAACGATGCCATCAAACAAGCAAATTGTGAACAGGACAATGCATGAGCAAGAGAAAGAAATCATTCATACCAACCCCTAAGCAGTTCTGGTCCTCTTCGTAGTTCCAGACCCTCCCGTAGTCACCTCATCTTCTTCCGCTTTGCGCTTAAGGATATTTCGATGACAGGTAGCATAACATGTGTATCCCGTTTGTCTTGTGCCGACGATGACCTCATCAGCGAGAAGGTCCCAGTTGTTCAGTGGGTTCGGAGGAGACCATGCATGAATACGAGCAAAGGCGGTACCCTGAACTTCACTGAAAGATAAATGAACACCATTTAGGTCAATTCGTTGACAATAACGAGAAAAATGTACCGTGGATAGTTGACTTTGATCAGGGAGATGACCTGGTCTCTAATCCTCTCCAAGGTATGCTGAAAAACGCGGTCGATGTCTTCAAGACCATCGCACTCAGGAAACAAGTCCTGTATTTTGTCAGAAGATCGACTAAAGGGGAATAGTAATCGTACCGCTGTTGTGCAAAGATCAGGGTCTTTTTTGTTAACGTTGAAGCTGCCATTGGGGTGGTGAAGCCACATTGTGATCGTCATGGTGATGGGATACTGCCAGATGTGATGAAACATTTTCATGACGGTTGGGTCCTCAGAGTTGGTGGCCGTGTGCAACAGCCACTGCAAAAACGTTGAGACTGATGGGCATTCTTCTAAGACATCTGCCGCCTCCGACCCTGACTCAGGCCCCGCATGCCTTTTTACCTCTTTTACATCGATTGATGTGATGGCAAGGAGATCCTTGCGCTTCACCATGAAGCTGGCAAGTCTCTTTGTTGCCGATTTCTTTGTCTATGAGATGCTGATCTCAGTAGCCCACAGCGGGATACAATCACCATCCGGGTCCTTGTATTCCATCAACATATCTGGCACTCCAAGTTTCAGACCAATGGCACTCAGAAGTTGAACATCAGTTTGGATGTGGATCTGCCAAAATTGGTAGGGTATGCCTATCGACCCCATGGCACCAAGCAGCATGGTGCTCATTGGGGCAAGGTATGCTTGATGAAGTTGGTTAGGCAGGGTGGCAGTAAGGAGTCTCAGTTCTTCAGCATATACCAGTCTGATGGAAGTAAATGAATGAGTTCAGGATAAGATGGATATGGATATACAGGGTACTTACTTGCATATTACTTTGTCTTCATCTCCATCTTCATCAATGGAATCTAAAATAGAAAGATAATTGTTGTTTGACACATTGAAGAATTCCTGTGGAGCATGAGTCAATTCCGATAACTGAATAAATTATTACATACTAGGACTTCTTCCACGTTATCAGCATCTTTGATGGCGGTGATAATCCGCTTGCATAAGCCTATTGGTAGGGTTAGGGTGGTGCAACAATCAATGTACTCAACACACTCACCATCTTTAGGAACACATTCATCAGCTGGTTTGGGGGGGGGGGGGGGGGGGTGAGTGTCTGGGGAGAGACTTTTCACAAAGGTTGTGCTTTTGCCCCCAAGTTGAGGACTACGCAAGCAGGAACCTCTATATGATGTCGCAGATGAAGACTGCAACCTGTATTCAAAGAAATTATTGCATGTTTCTGGCAATAAGAGACGGGTAGTTTGAACGGGCATGACGATACAGATGTGCCTCATGGGTGCCACACCACTGCTATAATATAGCCTGCACAGATTGCCCAGGCTGAGTCAGCTGTCAACAGGTTTCTTTGTTTCTATCTTAGTAGTACTGTATCATAGGTGACAGCACTGGGTCAGTAGTCTCAGATTTCAGTACTCAGTACTCTGCAGTAGGATCTCAGAACTCAGAACTCAGAATTCTTGCATGCATGGCAAGGAAACACATCAAAAGTTTTGAGAGCTGCAAGGAAATAATTCTACTAAAATGATTTACTTGCCATTCATTCATTTTGGATTCATCAGCACCATTGCCATCACCATTGATTTCTTTGGCAGAGGATGGAGACGTAGGTGCAATACAAAGATATGTAAATGTACTGAATTTTTGATTTACATAATATTTCGAACCTACCACCCCGTTGACTGCGACTATCATCTGGCTGACAGGCTTGGGCCATGGTCCAGCTTTGTTCTACAAGCAACACAAGATCATTCATCTTAGTTTTCTGTGTTGTATTGATGGTCCAACTTGTCTGTGGCACCCAAGGTTGCCAACAGGTATTACAAGACCAGCACGCTCTTATGTTGCACCACAAAACCTGTGTCCAATATTAAAAAACAGTGCTTGCTGTGTCGCAGAAGCGAAAAGATCGTGTGCATAATGCAATAGCTGCAAAGGTAATGAAGGACAGAACACACAGTCCTCCAGTAAGTACTTACTACTGGTTCTGGGCAGTGTGCTTACAAAGCAATCCTCAAGCCCGCCATTGCGGCCACAGACATGGGAGACCCAAGAAATGTGTTGCTGCCTGAACATCCACTTATCAATGAGATCACTTCTGTGGATCAGGATCATGCTTCTGAGTTACCTATGGATGTTGACCTCCAGGATACTGCTAGTGGCAACGTGTTGGCAGGAAGCCTGGATATTCAAGTTGATTTGTCCGAGTCAACGATGGACATTGGTAGGCCTGGAAATGCTATCTAGATTTTGCACTAACTAGCTTTATATCAGATCACTGCATCTCTGGTAAATTGTGTGCCCTTACTGGTGATGGGAACATGAACTTGGAATGCATTGGTGAGAAACGACTCTTGCACTTTAGTACATGCTAATTTTCAAAAAGCTCGGTCTAAACCGCAAAGAATTACCAGACTGCCCAAGTGGTATTGTGTTGATGGGCCTGTGGAACATGTTGTCCATCATATTGAGACATCTACTCAGGACATCGTACACGAAGACACCTCAGCGACATGTGATATACCACCAGCCAGAAGTGTTGTCTGAAGGGTGATTCTTGTCACTGAATCCATTCGTAACATTGTGGGAGCATTTGGTCTATCTCGTGACTACCCACAGCGCCTGTCCTATGAACCGGACATATTCATTCCCTCACGTCTTTTGGTCAATAAATGTCCAACAGTACTGCCCCTTCCATCAATTCCTCCGCCCCCACATCCTTTTCCAAACATGACAGTTTATTGACTCCTCAACTGGATGTCCAGCAGAAGTACCAGAAAGGTGGGCATCTATTTCAAGTCCTGGGATTTCACTATCGGCTGTTACAATAACATTTAGACCCTACTTATTTTTCCTTTTCTGTAACCATGGCGCCAACGACTCTAGACTCTTCTAGACTCGGCTATTCTCTTATCAAGTGGGCTATCTGCACTTCTTTCCTTCTTGATTGTATCTTGACTACCATCATGTGCAGCATGGTTGTTTCACCTATCTTTGTTACCTTTCTTGACACGGCTGCGCTGCTCCTTGTTACCTATATAAACCCCATGTACAACAGTAGTATTCCTTAACTTAATCTACTGGGTTTTCCCCTTGAATCCTGTTCTATAAGGTCTCCACCCTTATAGTCTGATACCTGATTCTAAGACAGTCACTCACTGTCTTAGCCTAAACCCTTGATAGGCAGAAGTGCTAAAACCACTCGCTGCTGATCCTAGATAGAAGCCACTGCGCTCATCTAGTGAGAACCCTTGAACCTGAACCCTCCTTGTACTAGGAGTTCAGAACAAGCTGTCAACAAGACTGGTCTATCTTTGACCATTGACAGAAGAACTATCCCAGTTGTAACATCAGCCATTGGTCAGTGCTATTTTCGAAGCATTTTCAGACGCTCAAGCAAAAGCATTTCATCTATGGCCCTTTCGTCGTCTCTGGACTGATCCAAACGATGGGAATACATATCGTGTTTATGATGAGTTTTATACATCAGATGCATGGATAGAAGCTCACAATGACCTACAGAAGCAGCCCAAGGAGCCTGATTGTGCTCTCGAGCAAGTGATTGCAGGCTTGATGTTTTCCTTGGATGCGACTCAACTTGCCAACTTTGGGAACATGTCGGCATGGCCATTATACTTGTTTTTTGGGAACCTGTCAAAGTATGCTCATGCAAAGCCTGACTCTGGAGTGTGTCATTTAGTCGGATTTTTACCATCTGTGAGTGTTATTTATGTACCACTACATGTGTTGAAATGGTTTCACATCTGCTTGAAGCTCCCAGATCGAATCAAAAATACCTTCCAAAATCTTGGGATTGTTACAAAAAGTGGTATAGCTGCTCTATTTGCACACTGTCGAAGAGAGCTTTTCCAAGGATGTTGGGACATTCTTTTGGATGATGACTTCATTCATGTGTACCACCATGGTATCGTAATGAGATGCGCTGATGGCATACTTCGCCACGTGTTTCCTCGAATATTCACCTATCCTGCAGATTATCCGGAAAAGTGAGTGAGCTCAAAAAATATAGTTATGTACCACCAATGTAATGTGGATATCAGGACACTTATTGCAACTATCAAAGACATGGGATCATGTCTCTGTCCATGCTGCCTGGTGATGAAATCAAAATCTGATCATGTTGAATTTTTGAGAGACATGCGCGCGTGGATGCAAGGTCTAAGGGTCTACTCCTTGCAGACGATACAGGCTGCACAAGATTTTGTATACAAGTCTGGGTACGCAGTTGACGGAACTGCAGTGGAGAACCTTCTTTTCCGTGAGTCATGGGTTCCAACTATTGTAAGTACTATTTTGTGTGTCCTGTTTACTGGCTGAGACGCAATATTCAGAATGTCTTTGCTCAAAAGCTTGGGCGCTTCGGATTTGACCCATTTTGCATGTTAGTTGTTGATTTTATGCACGAATGTGAATTGGGAATGTGGAAGAGTCTCTTTAGTCATTTGGTCTGCCTTCTATATGCCCTCCCCAATGGCGCTGAAGTTATTATCACACTCAATAAAAGGTAAGTCCCTTCTTTTCAAACTTGCAGAAAGATTTAGAATACTATCAGATTCAGCCATGTGCCCACATTTGGCCGAGGTGCTATTTGCAGATTCTCTGATGACATGTCCAGCATGAAGAGGTTGGCTGCAAGAGACTTCGAGGATATTCTACAGGTCATCATACTTTCTTTGGGGAGATCGTTACTGATGATATTGCAGTGTGCTATGCCCATTTTTGAGAGACTCCTCCCATCCCCACACAATGCGATAGTGCAGACCCTGCTGTTCAGATTCACTGAATGGCATGCCTATGCAAAAATGCAGCTACATACTGAGGTAACCCTGAATTCCATGTCACGAGCGTTTACTTCTCTCACTCGGCAGCTACGAAAGTTTCATTGTCATATCTGTGATCACTATACTACTTTCGAACTGCCAAAGGAAAAGGCTGCATGGCATCAATGACTCGGACAAGCGCATAATGAAAGCCGGCCTACTGATACATTTTCATCCTCTCCAAAGAAGAAGTCATTCAATATGAAAACCTACAAATTTCACGCCCTTGGAGATTATGTTCAGTCCATCAAGTTCTTTGGGACCACTGATTCCTTCACAACACAAATCGTATGGCACTGGTTTATTATTATTTTGAGCTTGTACTGAATACTGAGTTTAGGGTGAACTTGCCCATCGAGCCATCAAGGCATTTTACCCATTAACCAACAAGAAGAATATGGCCAAGCAGCTTTCCAAACACGAACAGTGCTGACGCCGGCTTCGAAAGATGCAGGAGTTAGAGAAAGAATCATCTTTGGCTCCCGACTCCCTCAAAAATCTTCCGCCCCCAGATCCGCGCCTTCATCACCAACTATCTCATCATTGCAACTCTCCTGTTCACATACACCAACTACTACAGGACAACGAGAATGATCCAGTGCTTAAGGTGTGTATTTGTACAAGCTTGTGTGTGCTAAGTGCTCAACCGCCCTTCAAGAAATTCATTCCAAAACTCAAGGACCACGTATTGCGTTGCTTATGAGGGCAAGATGGCAATAGCCTCGTCGAATTTTCGAGCGATGACAGAAATAACACTGTCATATGCGACAATGTTCTGTTCTCAGTCAATACACTATGGGTCAACTACACCTCGTACGATCTGCAATGCGAGCAAGATCTGATTAACCCGCACAACCATGCTGATATCATGGTGTTATCAGGTGATTCCAAGGCCTGCTTGACTCATCCTTACTGGTATACTCGAGTGCTACACATTTTCCATGTCAACGGACTTGACCTACGATTGGGTGGAGTGCATCCACCAAAAACTCAGATGGAGATATTGTTTGTTTGATGGTTTGATCTGGTGCAGTGGTACCATTCGGGGATTCAAGCAGCTCGTCTGCCAAAAGTCGCTTTTGTACCTGAGACTAATGACTCAGCTTTCAGTTTTGTTGATCCTGCATTAGTGATTCACGGAGTGCACCTGATTCCAGCCTTCACAGATGAAAGGGTGCTCCAATCCACACCATGGCAAACATCAGCTGGACATAAATGGAGGGAGGATGATGGATGGGCTGCATACTACATCAATATGTAAGTCTTCATCTTGGATTTGTCTCGGATTTTTTTGATAGTCTCATGTCATTGGCAGGTTTGTAGATCGTGATATGTTCCTTTGTTTTACCAGTGCTGGTGTCGGACATGGACCCTGGAGAGTAGATGATCCAAGCGAGGATTCAGGAGAAGCCTACAGCCATGCTGAACCTGGGGAGGAGGATGAGTTAGGGGACAAGGAAAATGAGGAGAGTCAAATGGGAGAGGATAGTGATGATGGGAATGAGGGGAGCGAGGATGAAGAGGAGGACAAGGATGAAGAGAAGGACAAGGATAAAGAGAAGGACGAGGATAAAGAGGAGGATGAGGATGAAGAGGAGGACGAGGACGAGGAGGGTGAAGATGACCACATGGAGGATCCAAGTCTCAATGATTCTGATGCTGACGAGGGTGGTAATTTCTAATGTAACACATATATAAGGACACATTTCTGTTGTCATCTATCTGATGGGATGCACACGCCGAACAGGACATTTTAAATTTTGCAGCATCAAACATAATCCTTTTATCTCATCTCTTGCACGTGTGGCCAAGCCTCAAAAACTATACTTTGCTTGAGACCCCTTTAAACTTAATGCTGTCCAGATCCAATGATCACATAACTGTTGTGAGCTGTCTAATGTTATTTCTCACTTATGTGAGTGCTAACTCGTGATCCTTAATGATGACAAAATGATCTCCCCTTTTAACAAGATGAGAGATTGCCATTCTCACCAGATGTTTTCTCTCTATCGCCAAAACCAAGCCAATGCTCTGGTCACATGATTTCTTGTTGATGCTATTAGGTAACACATGGTCCACTTGTGAACAAATGATTTTTCCTTGCAAGCCTTAGATATGAAATGAGAGAAGTATGGTCTACGAGTCTGCGTTCTGTAGTGTAAGAAGTAATTTACTAGAAATAACCCGACCATTATAACTTGATATCAAGCTATGTATATACACAACTTAGGAGATGATAATATGTAATTAGCATCAGGTCATAGCGAGCTACCTTCTATTTAGTGATGAGGTGGAGACTGAGGTACAGAATGGTGTGTTGAAATCCCGTTGTCGTCATAAGTCAGTAAGGTACTATGAACATAGTGACTGACGTATGTACCACTGATTAAGTAAGCATGCTACAAGTGATTCAGATTCCAACACACCCCCTGAATTGCTAGAAAGTCCAGGATGAACAAGAAAAATGCAACTCTCCTCACCAGACACCTTCCAGCTCATCTGACAAATCTGGACCATGAGTAACTACCACCTTGGCTTCCACATTCTCCAAGGTCCTCCTTTTGCAATCCTAAACATAGTGACCTTTTTGTCCACAACCAAAGCATGTAACATTTGGTGTATGAGCAGCATAGGCAGCACTCTCTGGATCTGTAGCAGAGGATCTGTATTCGGCCATCAGCTGCTGACTAATATGGTGCTCTTCTTCATTGAGGAGCCAAGCAATTGCAACATTGAGAGTGAGTTTGGCTGAGTCAACTGCATCAAGTGCAACAACAACAGGCTCGTATTCTGATGGGAGTCCAGAAGTGAGGACAACAACAATGAAGATGTCAGGAAGTTTGATTTCAACACGTTTCAGGTGGTGCGCAAGTGCGTGAACATCGCCGATCCAGGAGGACATGGATTGGTCAGCCTTTTTCTCCAAGCGGACAAATTTGCGAATGGCAGCGAGTTGGGTAGATAGACCTCAAGCATGGTGCACTTTGACTAGCTCATCCCAAATAACCTTGGGGTCATCACCATCCATGTGTGGGAGTTGGCTGTCTTCAACTGTGAGAATGAGCTCTGAGCAGGCTTCGAGCTGGCACTGCTGGAATGTGGCAATTTTGTCAGCATCAGCTTGGATGGATGCATCCAATGTCTCTGTCCCAGAGGCGAGGGACCAGTGGCCCTTTTTGATGAGGACCACCTTCATGTGTATGCTCCAGGTGGTGTAGTTGGTGTCATTGAGCTTGGGCAACAAATAGAATCTTTCTGAAATTGACATAGTAGTAGGGACAATAATCAACGAGCGATGAAAATAAAATTTTGAGTTCCGAAAAATGATCTGTCCGGTCCCGACAAGGCTAGCCCTTCACCTGTTGGTCTGTGCGCAGTGCAGCCCTTCATGCCCTGCTAAATTCTCGACTACCCCAGCAGTCAGGGTGTAACCGACTTATGTTGAAATCCCATTGTCGTCGTAAGTCGGTAAGGTACTATGAACATAGTGACTGCTCTGCTCACCAATCACATTTTCCCTGTTCCTCTGCAACCTTCTTCTGTTTACTTGCTTCCTCCTGATGCTCGCGCTTGGCCTGATCAGCCTCCAATTCCCTCAGCTCTGTGCGGCCTTCCTCTGATGTCAGCACCCTTGAATAGGGTTTCATTCATTTCTTGCCCAATTTCTTGCGAGTTTTGTCGTCCAGCTTCTTGTTCAACTGTGCTTTGTAGTGGTCGGTCATCTGAGCCGAAAAATAGCAGTGAGTCTCTGCAGCATCTTTTTGGAACATCAATAATTCATTTTCTTGACAGAGCCATTCAATCTCCTCCTCGGCCTGTTGGAGACATTCTGCAATCATTTTTGGTCGCTCTACTGGTGTTGCACTTCGCGAGAGTGGTGGTTTCGTACTTGTGGACACTGATTGAGTGTGGTGCCAAAGTGTGTTTGCAGGACGAGTCCAAGTCTGAGTTGTGCTGGGATCTGTTTCTGGCACTAATGACAGTGAACTAGGAAAATTGGAGGGACCTGCTTCTGGAGCTGATGAAGACTCAAGGGACTGGGCTCCTGACCACTGTCGGGGGTAAGTTTCCTTGTCCTGTTATTCTAGGGGTATGACTCGGATCACTGCCATTATCAGATTCTGATGATGAGTCTGAACCTGATTCTGAACTGTCAAAGTTGGATGAAGTTTCTTGTGGCGGCTTGTATGTTGGATCAGTGTCGGAAAGGGGATCAGAGAATGTGTGATTAGCCTGAGGGAAGGTGGCAGGGAGGTGCAACTGGGTGGATGACTCGTAACTTGGTGTGTAATCCTCTTCTGTAAATATTCCTGGGTTTATCAGTCTAATTCCACTTTTTTTCCATGCCTGCAGGATCATCTCCTCTTTAAATGTGATATCTCTTGCCTTCATATACTCTCAAATCACTTTGCGCTTTTTGATCCCCTTCCCAGTAGTAATGGGGTGGTTCAGCCATGGCTGGTTTGGCCTCAGCTTTTATTGGTTATGCAGCAGTTTGATTAGCAGTAGGTAGGCTTACTTGGTTTTTTGGCTCGGTTCACCTCAGCTAGCTGCATGAACCAACTTCAAGCCCATTATGTGTGAAAGACAGCTTGAGCTGGTTCAACCAGGCTCCAACCAGGCTCCAACCAACTTGTGCACACTATGCATGCAACCTCTTCTGTCATTTCAACTTTGAAACACATTTCTGTCTGATAACTCTTCAAATCAAATATCTTACTGTACAATGAACAAGGTCCCAATTCGGGTCGATGGCAGATTTAGGTTGGGAGACCTCTTAGGACCTGGCTTGTACAGTATGTAATATGCCATTTACATGTACAATTTATATGTTAAAAACATGTACTAGGTGCTGTGTACCATGCACGGAACATTATTAATGATGATAACCTTGCCATCAAACTTGAGCCTCTCATCAATAACACATCCTCTCTAGAGCACAAATATCGTATTTTGAAACATCTTGAAGGAGGAGCTGGGATTCCATGAGCTGTGTGGTTTGGTAGAGAGGCGGCATATCATGCTCTAGTTCTTGATCTGCTCGGGCCATCACTGCATGATCTTTTCATCACACACAATCAAAAATTCAGCCTTCATACTGTCCTGAATTTTGGAGACCAACTGGTAAGTTAGTTTATGGTACCCTGACACTGGTAGATGCTGATATATTTTGCAGCTCTTATCTCTGGAGCACATTCACTTACACAACTACGTTCATGGTGATATAAAACCACAAAATGCCCTTGTTGATTGTGGAGACTTAGAGCAAACAATTTTTATTGTTGATTTTGGTGTCGTGAAAGAGTACTGGAACACTGCCGCCCAAGCCCATATGCCATTTTGCCATGGTGGACATCTTACTGGCACTCCTGTGTTTGCTTCAATCAACAACCACCTAGGAGTTGTGCCTGGTCATTGTGATGATCTCAAGTCACTTATATACATGTTGATTTACTTCTTGCGCAGTTCCCTTTCATGGTTTACTAGTGACCACAAGAAGCTTCTCACTTCTTCTATACTGGCATGCAAGGTGGACACTACCATTGAAGATCTATGTCTTGGAATTCCTCCTGAGATCACAACTATGCTGATTTATTCACACAATCTTGCATTCTCAGAGGATCCCAACTATGATTATCTTAGATCATTGCTCCATGATGTTTGTGCCATGATACCCGCACCAGCTACATGCTCACTGAATTTCAGTCAGCCCCATCATCTCATTACACATCCTCCATCCCTGAAAGGTCACTTAGTGGCCAAGGAGGTGCCTCTGTGTCGACCGAAGACAACACCTCTTCGCAGATCAGCTTGTCATGTGTGAGTGGTCGTGTTCATTCTTTACACACTCATTGACTTGAGCCTTCAAGTTTATGCCCACATAACAGTTGCCCCATGCCTGTAACTGCTTCCAAGACACCACAGCGTAAAAAGTCCTAGTTATGTACTATATCATTCAATCATTCACTCTTTTTCGTACCTGAGAGGCTGAGATGTGAGTAAATATTCTATGATTTTGTGTACAGGGAACATGTATTCTAACAGGCCAGAACATTTTATCGTGCAGAACCACCTCATGTGTACGCTCCACCTCTTACACAAAAAATGTTCCAAGGTGTGAAGTATCAAGCATGTGCATGTCATGTGACATGTTGATATGAACGTGAGGTCCATAGATCCCACCTCCTTGTATTAGGGCCCATCAGGTAGCATTGCCATGCGCACAAGGTGAGTATTTCCTTGTTCCTTCCTTGTTCCTTCCTTGTTTACTAAGTTTATCCTTCTCTTCTAGCCTTATCAGATTCACCTGACCACTGACCAGCATCTTATTTCTGCTGGCAAGAACATCATGGTGTCCCCTCTCCCGCCACTTATATTGTCCTTATCTCAATCCTTATCTCTCAGTCATGCTCACCTTGGCTACCATCACAAAACATACAGAGACACTTTCTATAATGGAATGTTCAATACCTTGGCAGAATCTTGCCTGATCTTTTTGCCACCATTCCCTGATGTGAGTCTTTGCCTCTTCTCTCCTCTCTTGTCTTCTGCTGTTTAACCTCCTCTCTCATCTCTCATCTCCTGCCATTTAGTCTCCTCTCTCATCCCCTCCAGCACTGAC